ATAGATAGATAGATAGATAGATAGATAGATAGATAGATAGATAGATATGGTGGTGAGCCATTTCTGTTATTATTGGTGAACAGTTGATCAGGTGAAGTGTGCATGTTGTGCATCATGTCTGAATAAAACAGTAAAACTCATTTTCAGCTAATTCTGCTGAAAACTAGTGGTATTTTTTCACCTTGAGTAAAATGCTGTGATATTGTGAATGTAACTGTAATATGAACATGAAACACTTCTGTTCCTGAGACTGTGTGCCCTTCATCTCTGTTAAAACACCAATTTGACTTAAATATTACTTCAAAGCTGTTTCCAGAATAATCTTAGTAGCAACTCAAAGGCTCAGGGTCACATTACAGCCAAAATAACATTTCCATGTAGTTTACCAGTTTCTCAAGTTAAGTAATGTTCAAACTTGACCTATTATATGTCTCAAAACACACATTCTGGAGGCAATGTTTAAAATCAGTGCCCTAATTTCCTGTAAAAGATTTGCTCAGCAGCACATCAAGTTGTTAGGGGCATAAATACAGCTCCAATCCTATAAAGATAGGAATTTAAAAGAAAAAACAATGTTTTCTCTCATAAATCCCAATGTCAGTTGAAGTCTTCCAGCCATAACACACTGTTTCACACAATATAACCCTGTAGTTTTTTGTTTTGTTGTTGAGAACCACGTATATGTTAATTAAGAACTCTCCGGTCCTTTGTGTTTGCCACAAAAAATCCTCTGAGAAAAGTGTATGTATATAATCTTTTTACAGGCTAGAACATAGATTTAAAACTTTTGGTCAAAATCTTTGTTCATTTTGTCTGTTGAAGTGAATGATTATCATCTGAATAATGAACTTTTAAGGTAAAGTTATCCAGTCTTGTTAAACTGAATCCCAAACATCTTCCTTAGAAGTTGAGTTTTGTCTTTTGTTGTGTTCTCTGACAAGATGATCCCAAACTATTGCAATACAAAAAGGGACAAGACTTTGAGACATTAAACGGTTTACCCTATCTTTGAAAGACTTTCAGGTCATTTTAATCTGTTGAAATTAACCTGCTCTGAATCTCACTCTGTGCCACTGAAACGAACACTTCAGCAACCTCAAACTGTCTTGTTTTCATGTATGGCAGGAGTAAATAATCTTTTAGCACTATTCTAAATAGTGATAGGCATTTTACGGGTACACTTTTTTATTTCAAGCTAATGTCAACTGCTCCCTGTAATAATGTTCATTTGAACAAATATGTTATGCCTGCCTTTAGCCCAATTTCTGCTGGGATGAGCTCCAGCCAATTAACAATGTTCTGACTAAGAAGGTGAGAGGGGACCTGTCTTAGGGAGGGAAATAACAATCTCCTAAAAACTGAGCCGTGAGTTCAGCCTGACTCCAGCACAGCAGATTTTCAGCTCTGGTTTGGTGCACACTGCCTTTTTCTCTGCTCTCACAGGTGGAGAGAGGCTGTGTGTTACTTCAACCATGAAGTTCCACATGGATTCTCTATAAGCAGATGTAGAGAACAATCAATGGAACACCACAACAATCTATTTCTTTTTTAATTAAATGTTCAGTGAAACAGTAAATTCTTTAAACCCACCACATCACAATTCAGTGGCCAAACTAATCTCCACATGCTTCAGTTAATTTCCCTCTGATGCAGAAAATGTCCAGTGCAGTCTGAGACATGCTTACACAATCTGCATCCATCCCTCATTTGCAACTCTTTTCACAAAGATGATTTAGATTAGCCAGTGTTTGGCCATCTGATGGTTGTTTGTGCGGCCCCTCTTTGCCTGCATTGACTTGGTAATGATTCAGTTAAAAGGTGAAAGGATGTGAGAAGAGTGAGCCTGATGGGGGAATTAGCATCTCTAACTGATTTCTGGCAGGACAGATTTGGTTTTTCTGATCTCATGTAAGCCATTGGCAAGCCGAGGGGGCTTGATGAGGCCAGTGTGTATCAGGAGTGGCTGTACAGGTGTGCATCACATTAGCATTGGTATGTGCTGAGAGAAATACAGACTGTGACATGGTTCACTGAGTTCTGATTCAAGAAGGAAATATGGCATTGAAACTGTTAGGATTGGCTTATATTTACTAACTTTAGAGGATTACTTTGTTTTACTTCATTACTACATTTAGTACGCCATTTGATATCATTTAGTTATGGCATTGTTCATTTTAATTATACTCGGACACTGAACCCATGTTCAGTTGTGCTTCCAAATTTCTTAGTTTTTTCTATCAGGACAAGGACAACACTCAAGCAGACGCATTTCTTATCACATTTTAGTGGAAACTGCGTGGATTGGGAGCTGGCCTGAACATGGTAGATGCTACTGGCCAATAAGACTCGGATCCGCCAAGCCTTCCTTCTGTGTGGGGCAGGCCCAGCCCAAGAAGATAAATGTCCATTACACCCAGAAATCTGGGCTCTTTTCTGATACAGATCCTTATTGAGCTTTGTCAGTTAAGAACCTGGCACGATGTTATACTTGGCATGTGACATGAATAAATTGTACATTTATACTTGGATCATTCTTCCGCTTCATTCTCAGGCTTCCAATAAAAGAATCAGGCTAACAAAATTAAGCAGTTTACCACAAAAACATAATTCCTTGAGGAAACATCCTTAAATATATTTACAGTATATTTTTCTCCCACGTCAGAACATAGATATTAGACTTTTCGATCAGCGTTTTTGTTCATGTTATCTGTTCAGAAAAATGATTGTCATCTCAATAATTATTCAAATTACTCAGCTACTAGGACTATGAAATCAAGATATTGGTGCTAAGAGTACTAGTTACATATGTGTGAAACTTCATAATTTTTAGTATACACAGTGAAAGATATGGCTGCTCTTAACAAAGTACAGAAGTTTTTTTTTTCTTTTCCCTCTGTACTCTGACGTTCCCCACATTAAAAAAATGTGCATACTTGGTTGAATAAAAACTCATAATTGGCCCTTCGGAATGATTGTGAGTGTTTGTTTGTCTGTGCAACCCTGTGATTGACTGGCGTTCTGTCTAGAGTGTTTTCTGCCTATCTCTCTCAAGGAGTGCTGGGATAGACTCATCCCACCGCTAGCTTTGCCAAGCGGTACAGCAAACGGATACATGGATTGTATTTTGGATTGAGTTTTTTAACATATGTTGCACAACCTTTGGTCACTTCATGCCTGATTGAATTATGAAGTGGCTTAAATCAAACAAGCACTTTCCTTAGAAAATTTGCTTCAGGTTCACATATATGTGATTTTACTTTTCTATATGATCTGAATTGAAGAAAACTGCCAACTATGCAACTAGATTCAAATGCCTGTGAAAAACAGCCCTGTCAAAATGAAAACGTAAAGGTTTGATATTTTTGACAACATGTGCTGTTTTTTTTCCTCCCATTTTAGCCCCTTTAATGTAAGTGGGATGTTAGATCTTACGTTGATATCTTAAAATAGTGTGATTAATCTGAAACATGTGTCTCATTATGGGTGAAAAAAAAAGACATTTCAAGTCCAGTTTTATCTAAAAGAATACGACCTCCTAACCAGGTGGGGGCGCTGTATTTTTTTTGTGTTAGAATTGAAGCACAAAATTCCGAGTGTCCCTTTAACTCATCTCGCGTGGAACTCCTGGCCGGTTCTGTCCCGCGTGCGTGCTGGACCAGACCCAGGTGGAATGTTGAATCTGTCACTCCCAACGGGTCGACTCGCCAGTTTGACACACCCGACTGTTTAAAAGGAAAAGTAGGAAGATAGCTCGTTAAACGTCACAAAAAAAACTTTGTTTATATATTTGACAGGTGGAACATCCGGCTAGCCAGTCATACAGCTGAAGGACGACTCGTTCATCGCCTCAGGTTCATAACATATAAAAGTTAACGGTCACTAGAAAATTAACCGAACGTGACAGGTCGCAGCTATCAAGATGACAGAGGAACTTGAGCAAATCCTATCTCAGCTGACACAGCCGGACAATGCCGTTATTCAGCAGGTAACGCCACTAGAAATATTTTTAATAAGCTGTTCGTTTGTTTATTTAAAGAAAGCTGATAAGTTTTAAGACCAGTGCTACGTGTTGGACATAACGGTTATTGAATTAAGCTAGCTGACACATTAACGTTTGAAACGTAGGGCCCGTCAACCGTCCAAATAACTCATTTTTGTAAAATAGGTCAATTCCATTTAAATGGAATTTAGTTTGTGAGTCATCCGTGATTTCCACGTATTATTTTATTGGCAGTCGACATCATTACTCGGATCTATTTTGTTCCCCTCATAGGCCACCGCCCAGCTGAAACTGGCTTTCAAAGACCCAGCCGTTATACCAGCTCTGTGTGCTGTCATGAGTGGCTCCCAAAATCCACAGGTATCATTATGAGTGTGACGACATAAAAATGAATTGCGTGAATGTGACAGATCTTTTTAAACCCCACACTTCTCATTAATCTGGCGGCAGCTAATTGTTATGGTTTAATGCGTTGCCACTTTTTGCAAAAAAAAAAAAAAAAAACTTGGCAGATTCGCCAGTCAGCTGCAGTGATGTTGAGGCTGAGAGTGAAGAAACACTGGAAGAAGATTAGCCCCAATGACCGAGAGAGGTTTGCTTTGTACTTCTCATGAGTTGAATTTCACAACACCGTAATGCCGGTTGTTTGATGCTGAGGTGGTTGTGTTTTCTGATTTTCACGCAGCCTGAAAGCCGTGGTGCTGCAAGCCTTCATGCAGGAAGCAGAGTAAGAGTTTTGATCAGTTTAACACAAGTTTGTCTTATTGAGTAACAGACATGACATAGAAAGTCACCTCCTGGTTCTGTTGGCGTGTTTCATCTGTGCCGCTACTCTGCAGGCACACTGTGCAGCACTCCATCTCACAGTTATGTGGAGTTATGGTCAAACATGAGACACCAGACCGCTGGCCAGCCCTGCTGCAGCTTCTAAATCAGTCAACCAAGAGCACCAATCCTCATGACAGACAGGTACACTTTTTTGATTTGTGATGTGAGGCATTTATTAATTAAAAAAACACAGATTGATTCATGTTTGTATATGTTTCCACTTGGTAAATGAAGTAGGTTTCAATATTTGTAAGTTTGCAAGCCTGTTGTATTGTACGGTTTTTAGTCTGAGGATTCCCAAACAGTGAATTATGTTGTTTCTTTTCCAACAGGTGGGCCTCCTGCTGCTAAATAAGGTGATGGAGTCCAACCCTGAACCCTTCCAGCCTCACTACCGCCAGCTGCTGCAACTGTTCAGCACAGTCCTGCAGGACCTGAACAACCCAACGGGCCTGTACTACTGCATCCTCACACTCACCGCCATGACTGCCTACACTGGCACTGATGAGATGGTGAGGAAGTGCTTTCTTTTTGACCTGTCAGGGGTTTACATTTAATGGAGATCTTTAAGCCTTTGTGGAAAGTATTCTTTTTCAGTTAACACAAGGTTATATAAAAAAGCTTGAAGAGACTTTGTAATGACTGATTGGGCCTTTTGCTGTCTTGCAGAAGCAGATGCGTTCTATAATCCCCAGTATAATTGTTGCTTTGAAGCACCTCATCAAGGCCAATCAGGTATGTGGTAAAATTCTAGATGTTTTTTTTCTTTTTTTAGGATACAATTTAAGGCTGTGGTTTTAGAGGATTAATAACAGGCTGTGTTTGTATTTGTCTCTGTAGAACCAGGCCAGCGAGGCCATGGAAGTGTTTATCGAGTTAATGGAGATTGAAGTTTCCGTCATTGTGCCCCATGTTGCTGACATCGTCCAGTTCTGCCTGGAAGTAGGTTCTGAATTGTTTGTGTTCAGAGAACACGTACGTTTTGTATTGGACTTTTAATTTCATGTGTTTGTTCTAGGTGGCCAGTGACACAACACTAAGTGACTCTCTGAGGGTGAAAGCGCTCTCCTGCATGACTTTCCTCATCAAGCTGAAGAGTAAGGTAAAGTCATGCATCAGCTCCCATAAACAAAGAAATAACTTATAACTGTATTTCAACCTGAAATGATGCACAGCGCTCAGAAACTGGTTCAATGGGCATAGTGCCACTTTCTGAATCCTTTATGGGTTTTTATGACTGGCGCCTCAAAAATCAACATACAGATTAGTACTATTTTCTTTTGAAATCATAAGAAGCTTCTTATCGGCCTTTGCATTGTAGACGGTTCTGAAGCTGAAGCTGCTGAGCCCCATACTGCAGGCCATCTTCCCAATTCTGACTGCCACGCCCCCACCGGGTGAGCATGACCCGGAGGATGAGGACGATGACAGCGGGGACGGCACGGACAACGACAACCCCAAACACTGCGCTGCTCAGGTGGAGAGAAGCTAATGGATATCATTAATGTAGACATGTCCCTCTCCTTTTTGCAATGTACAAACAGGTCTGCGCAAAACTCAGAATTGACTTGTTGCCATGTCTCTGTTTGCAGATGATTGACACAATGGCTCTCCACATGCCTCCAGAGAAACTGTTTCATCACCTTGTGAGTCATTTTAAATACAAACTGTTTAGTCATTTTAGATACAAACTGTCTATCTGTATGCCAGAGCCTGGACTCTTATGTCTGATGGAAATCATGTCTTGTGTATTAGATACCCCTCACTCAAACATGCCTTACCAGTGAAAGCCCCTATCAGAAGAAGGGGGGCCTCATGTGTCTCGCCGTGCTTGCTGAAGGATGTGCAGATCACATACGCACAAAGTAAGTCTAGAAATACTATTGATGGAGTTTAGGAAAAGTGCTGGTTTTAGTTGGTTATAACAGTTATAACCGTTTCCATGACTTGAACGAGCTACCCAAAGACTTTGTGTTTGTTATCAGGATGTTGTCATCAGTGCTGCAGACGGTATGTCAGAGTCTGTCAGACAGCAACCAGGTGGTTCGCAGTGCTGCCCTTTTTGCCCTCGGACAGTTCTCTGAACACTTACAGGTGAGCCAGGACACACATGGACAAACTACGCCGTGCTGTACTGAGAGGGGTAGTGCTTATGTTAAGCGGACCGATATGCATCACGGAATTTAAAATTAGTCTTGGCTTATTGTGTTTTGCAGCCTGAGGTGAGTAAGTACTGCGCAGAGCTGATGCCTTTGCTGCTGGGCTACCTTTCATCCTTGAATGAGTCGAAGGTGGGTCACGTCACCAAAGCCTTTTATGCCCTGGAGAACTTCATGGAGAATCTAGGTAAGCCCAAAAGAAAAGGCTCACTCATGAACTGGTTTACAATAAGGCTCCAACAGTGGGCCCTCTGATACCTGATGACCCAAGCACTATTAAACTCTGTCACCAGTTTGATTTTGTATAACGATTAGTTATCCAAAACACTTAGCACGGAATTATTCGTAAATATAGAAATTATTCTGTTGCCAAAAGCTTTAAAGTGATTTCTGAAACAGGAGCTGGGATTGAACCCTACCTGCCCACTCTGATGGAGACCATGTTGACTGCTCTCAACAATGCTGGAAACCTCAAGATAAAAGAACTGGCTGTGTCTGCCATAGGAGCCATAGGTGAGAATGTGTCCCAGTTTACACCATCTTTGAGGTAAAGTTACTGGGAACAGACAGCAAAAGATCCCACACAACCCTTTATGAGTTCTTTATATTAACAGTTAATTCTGAAATTTCAGATTTCCTAGGCTTAGTTTTCTGAATGTTCAGTGGGATAAGAACAATCTGTTGGTCATATGTTTTGTTGTTTGATGAACTCAAATCTCTGTGATTTACCTAATCAGCCAATGCTGCCAAAGAGTTGCTGGTTCCCTACTTCCCTCCAATTATTGAAAGCCTGAAGAGTTTCCTGACCGCCACGACAGAGGAGATGAGGCCAGTGCAGACTCAGTCATTGGGTAGGAAACAAAATCACGCACCTCAGCCACAAAGTCTTTTCCCTCGCTGACCGGTGGATGATGGTGGCTGCTTGTTGGCAGATACGCTGTCTGTGCTGGCCCGGACCATCGGCAAAGACGTCTTCATTCCTCTGGCCCCTGAGTGCATCCGGCTGGGCCTTAACCTCACCGACAGCATCGATGATCCTGACCTGAGACGCTGCACGTACGTCACTTAGTGTGTTGTCTCTTTCTGTTTTCAAATCATGGGTCACAAATAAAAAAAATAAAAAAATAAACTCCCAAGCAGATGGTAAAGACCAGTTGGTGATCAGTTGGCAGCAGTTTGTGACAGACGTCCAAGTAAACATAAGGGCTATCAGCCTGACTCTGCCTGTCTTAACACATAAAGATACTTTTTGAACAAGTAAAAAAAAAACAGATTTTTTTGTTTGTTAAAAACAAATGGAGCAGATGTCTGCTCAGAGATATTCCTCACATCTCTGTGTCCCCCTCTTTCAGGTACAGTCTATATTCCGCTGTGTCCACGGTCAGCCCTGAGTGCCTGGCGCCCCACCTCCCCGCCATAACTACGGTCATGCTGCTGGCCTTGAAGTCCAATGAAGGCATCACGGTAAAAATCACACACACAGAGGACTCTGGGAGGGCTTTTCAGAACCACTCAGGAACGAGTCGAGTCGGCAATTCACTTTTTATCCCCCTGTGTCGGCTCAGGCACACCTGGAAGAGGACAAGACATTCGTCCTGCTGGACGACGACGACGATGACGATGGCGACACCGATGACGGCGAAGTAAAAACCGAGGACTTCTTGGAGGACGAGTCGGAGACGGATGTCCACGATGTGGCGGGGTCAGCTCCTGCACACGGACACACTCACCGCCCGGGTTCAATGAGAGACCCCTCCTGCTCAGACTCTTTGCACACCTTTCAGGTTCAGTGTGGAAAACGCCTACATCGATGAGAAGGAGGACGCCTGCGACGCTCTGGGAGAGATCGCCTTCAGCACAGGGTGACTGACCGTCACAGCTGATATTGCACTGCATCGCTTAGCAAAGTCCAAAATCCTTTTTGTGTTCAGTTCTGTCACTTTTGTCTGTGTTGGTGTTGTCCTGTATGTCAGAGGTTCTGTAGATGATACTCGGCTTATGCTGCTGTGCTTTTCTCTGACAGAGCTGCCTTCCAGCCCTTCCTGGAGTCCAGCTTCCAGCAGGTTTATGAGATGAGAGACGTAAGTCCCACTCGCTTTCTTTGTGGAGGATTAATAGTGCCAGTCTTAGCATTTCCCTCCTGTTCATGTTTGGAAAAGAACTGCAGTGTGCCCTGGATGGGGGGGGCAAATAAAGAGGGGTGGACATTCATACCCAATTCAAATACTCAGTGTTCACATATCCAATTCTATATTTCTGTTTTTTTTTTTAAATGTTTGATTAGAGAGCGTCTCTCTACATCTCAGGATGGGCCCTTAAAAATGTTTCTGGTAAATTGAGACACTTCAGAAGCCAGACTTTTGCTGGCAGGGGGAGTTTGAACCTTTGGCACTCTTTGACCTCCCATTTGTCTTCGGATGTCCGTGCACTGCCTGGCTAAAACCGATGCCTTCTTGTGCCCTCCCTAGTTTCCTCACGAGGACGTCCGCCGGGCAGCGCTGGGAGCCATGGGGCAGTTTTGCCGAGCTCAGCACAAAGTGTGGACAGAGATTCCCACTGAGGCCAACCACCAGGGTAATGCGGTCAGACAGGAAAAAGGGATGAGCGGTGCTCTTTTGCTGCTCCGCTGACCGAAAGGGCAGTCGTGTGGAAAAAGAAAATAACACCTGCTTTCAGATTGAAGATTTTCTGCAAATGTTAAAAACGTCATCTGAAAACAAAGACAGAAAGTGTTACACTGTCATTGTTTAGATTTGTTTTATTACTAAACCAAAATGTAGTCTTCCCCATTGGAGGAAGCCGGTTTTCTCTGGAGAACATGACTCGGCTCAGGCCTGTTGAAGTGAACCTGCCGTATTTCTTTGTCACATGACCGTGTCGCCCTGTTCCTGAAGCTTCCTCCGGGATGCCTTAACTCCTTCCCCCTCCTCTTTCCGGGCTCTCCCACCCAGCCCTTCTGAAACTGCTGGAGGTGGTGCTCGCTTGTTTCGTGGAGACGGTGCGAGCGGAGCCCGAGCGGCAGGTGGTGATGGGCGTCCTGGAAACCTTGAACAGTCTCATGAAGTCCTGCAAGGAGGAGGCTTTCAAAAACCCCTCACACCTCAAAGACATCTGCAGCGTCATACGTGATGTTCTGACTAAGAAGGTGAGAGGGGACCTGACTTGGGAGGCATAGAGGGAGGGAAATAAGGATTTCCTAAATAAAAACTGAGAAAAAACCTCCGATAACGGTTTGTTTCCCTGTCTTTCTGGTCAGACTGCTTGTCAAGGCGGGGGCAACGAGGAAGCTGATGATGAAGAGCAACAGGTGGTGTTTTTGGTCATTTTATCTCTCCATAAACTGGAATAATTTGATTTGACTCTGTCTGATAACAGAGTTGCAAAAGCTTCCTCTGAGGCTCCGATTTTCTCTCCTGCTCTGTGCTGGCGGCCGGTCTGTTCCAGGCTGAGTATGACGCCATGCTGCAGGAGTTTGCAGGGGAGGGGATTCCTCTGCTGGCCGCCTCTGTTCCCGCCGACAAGATAGCGCCTTTTCTGAACGACGTGCTGCCCTTCATCATGAGCAAAGCCGTGAGTTCAGCCTGACTCCAGCCCACCACAGATCTCCTCCACAGTTCGGAACCATCGGCCACTTTTCAGAACTTTTCAATTTTTTCCAGAAATCCTCGTGCACCGTGGCAGACCGCTCCTTTTCTCTGGGTACCATCGGAGAAATCCTTCAGGCCCTGGTGACCGCACCAGGAGGCCGGGGATTGGCGGGCAGACTGTCCAATCGCCTGCTCCCGGTGCTGGTGGCCGGGGTGAGGGACAGTGACCCCGAGGTCCGCAACAACAGCGTGTTTGGGTTGGGGTGCCTGGCTCAGGCCGCCGGACCCATCATCCTGTCGTATCCTTTCCACCCGAGAGCGTTCCATCAGCGCACATCAGAGCAGTGGGGATAAGTGTAATCCTTAGCCAGCTGGCACTCAGAGACTACCCCATGATGCTGTCGGTGTTTTCTAACCTGCTGGCCAAAGAGTCGGACCTCAGGGTGGTCGACAACTTGTGCGCCGCCCTCTGCAGGATGATCATGAGCAATGTGGAGGCTGTTCCTCTGGAGCAGGTACGTCCTAACAAAATAACCGCAGCCTGCACAGCCAGGTGTTGTTATAAGAAGTGGATTATTATAAGAATTTAACACGGTGAACTCTTCGATAGGTCGTGCCTGCCTTGGTTTCCCATCTTCCTCTGAAAGAAGATCTGGAGGAGAACAAAACGGTTTACACCTGCCTGGCCATGCTCTACAAGCAGAGTCCTGCCTTGGTATGGTGCACCTTTTCTCTGGTTTCATAGGTGCAGAGAGGCTGTGGGTTACTTCACCCACGAAGTTCCACATGGATTCTCTATGAGCAGATGTAGAAAACAATCCACAGAACACCACAGCAAGCTTTTTATTTATTTATTAAATGTTCAGTGAAACGTTACATTGTGTAAACCCACCTCATCAATATTCATTGGCTGCTCTTTTTTTCTCTTATTTGAATGACATAAATCTTCCTTTTCTTGCGTTTTCCTTCCAGATTGTAAAGTTAATGAAGCCCATAGTAGCGGCTTCCAGCCACGTCGTGGGCAACAAGGATGTTGACATAGGTGAACTTTTTGATTATATGCAGAGCAGCTCTCCAACAGCTTCTTAATTTCAATGTTTTGTTCACTCTTTAATAATCTTTCCTCACAATTTGCTGTCTTTTACGACCGTTGGACCCTCTTTTTATTTCCCGCAGAGACCCAGAACACTCTGGTCTTACTGATAAGAGAATTTGCCCAGAACCAGAGCGCCGACTTCCAAGCAGCGGTCAGCTCCCTTCCTGCAGAGCAAAAAAGCCGGCTGGCAGCAGCCATCAGCGCCTCGTAACATACCCCGCTCACACATCAACATTTTATACTGTAGGTTTGAACGTGTGTGTGCCATGTCTACACACTTTTACAGTTCTATTAAAGTTATTCCATTCTGCATTTCTGTTTCTAAGTAGTATTATTTATTTGTTTACCTGCATCCTGTGCTGACATGTAATTGTTTTAAGAGTTCTGTTTTTTGTGTTTAGATTTCCTGTTATTGTTGTAAAATGATGTAAAACTGGCCCTTGAATTTTTGGATTCAAAGCCTTTGGAGTCCCGTGTGTGTTCTACTTCAGCTCTGCAGTTCAGTAACCACCTTTCTCTCTGGACAACCGCACACGTTATTAAAGAGGGAAAAAAAGCACTGACTTTACCTTCTGCCGGCCAGCACTTTCTTTGGCACGCTGCAAAATTGTTACTTTTTGGTGGAACTTTTTAGTTAAAAAAAAGACATCCCACAGCGCAGCAAAATATGCATTTTACAAAGGCAGCAGATATTTTACAGCCACTCGACGGAGCAACCTTTCTTTTCCTTTTTCTAAAGGTTCTGAATAAATGCAAACTTGCAACTGCATTTAGCTGTAAACTAGTTGAGCATGTTAGCTTTTTTTCTGTAATCAAATGGTTCGCTGGTTGATTAAAAGGCGAATCCTTTATGTCCTCTTCAGACCTCCCGTTGGCCCTGGTCCTCTGTGGAGTCGGGCGCCTGGTTTTCCATGTCTAACGCCAAAGTCATCTCCACAGGCTTCAGTTCATTTCCCCCTGAAGCAGAGAGAGAAAAGTGTTTTGTTAGTTTTTTTAGTTAAAAAATAATTTACTATCAGCTATTGCATTGCCTAAAACGGGGAGCAACATACATGAACTCTGAGTTCAAACTGACAATCAAATAAAAGCAAATCGTCCAGCCACTTGGCTAAAGCCTAGAAGACCGAGAAAGCTGGCAGTATCACAACGACACAAACAGCCTCATGGGTAATGTAGTCAGTAAGAACTGCTTCCTGACCTCTCTGCTTCCAGGGCAGAATATCCACCCCGGTGCGGCAGAAGGAGCGGTCCGTGTGCGCCTCGGTGCTGTACAACACCTCCTGGAGCTGTTTCTCTCCCGGTTTCTGGGCTTTGACTCGTACCTAAACAGAAAAGAGAGAGAGAGAGAGAAAACAACAACAATGTTGGGAGCTGGGTGACCCTAAATTCAAGCTCTTTCTGATGAATCTTTGCCACACCTCAAGGATGGTAATCTCTTTCTCCTTCAGCTTCCCCGCTTTGTTTTTCACCTGAGTCTTCTTGGTGTCCACCCACACCACCCTCTCCTTCACCTCTGACCTGGACACATGACACTCGCGTGTTTAAACGGGTGGATTTGAATGTCACGGGAAGCACGCGCAAGCGGCAAGACTCACTCTTGGATGCCCAGGTCGGCCAGCGTGGTGTCCAGAAAGGGGAAGGGCTGGTGGGCCGGGTCGGCCTGCACCTCGATGGGTAACGTCAGCGACATGGGGACGTCTCGCTCCACTTCCACGCGCACCATGACCCCGCGCGGCTGCCGCGTTTGTCCGTTAGCCTCTCCCTCCTCCGACGAGCTCTTTTCCTCATCCGCCGCCAGCTTGACTCGCTGTCCTGTTGCTCAAAAGATTCTTTATATGTATAAAAAAAACAAGATTTCTCTCAGGCTTTTTTTTTTTTAATCGCCACGCTGTGCCTCCAAACAGTAAGGGCCTGTGGACAGTTTGCGGTGTGCTCTGCCCGCCGGGCTGATATAGGGCGGCGGAGGCGAATGTGCGCAATGTGCCGCTCAGGTGTGACTTTTATTAGCCTGTCATGGCTGATGGAGGGATGGCTGTTTTGGCGGCCGGCTGCCTCCGCTCCTTATCAGTTCAAACCGGCCGGAGAGAAATTAGTTTGAGGTTGAGCTTTGACTTGATGTTACACCTGAAGCAAATGTTCTAAAAAAACATTTAAAACGTATATTAAAACGAACACCGACCTCCGGTTCAGTGCCTAATTAGGTGACGCTCGCCATCATGGCGGGTCCTCCTGCCTCGTTTTTTTTTTTAAATGTTTACTGTGTGTACAGGCTGCTTGATATACGAGTCGAACGTGGTGGTGAGACATTTTCAGCCTCAGAAAAATGCGTCCTGTGTATCTTCCAAGGCTGCAGGTTCAAACACACAAACAGAACCTGCCTACTCACCGTGCTGCCCTCCGGGCCAGGACGCCATTTTCCCCTAGTCCGCAGGTTTCATCACTAGCAGGACAGGTGATGAAAAGTTCAAATCTAATTATTTTCCTATGTGTGCAACGATGTAACAATGATCTTTAGAAAACCAGAATTATGACTTGATTTTTTTTACTCTTGTAATCATCTTTTTCTTTCCATTTGCAGCAGTTTTCAGTTTTGCTTTATGGGTTCATGTTGACCAACAGCCTTCCTCACCAGCCCCTGACCCTAACCCCCCCCCCTCCCCCCTCCTCAGGAGCCTGCTATGTTTGTAAACACATTTGTATTTTTCATAGGCATGGAGGGGATATTTCCTGGCACACACTGTCCCTGATCATTCTGACATGCTGATGTGAATTAGGATTTCTGCTCTCGGTGGGGCTCTGACCTCAGCTCAGGCCTCTGGGTCGCAGCAAGGCGCCACATGGATGTGGTCTCTTTCCAGTGTACGTGCGCATGCTGCAATTGTGCAAAGTTACTGAGGCGTGAGGTCAGATGGAAGCTTTGTGCCAGCGAGGCACAATCCGGATCTGCTGGAGGCTGGCGCACGCAGACCTCCGTTATAAGCAGGAATATTCTCCTAAACCGGGTTTTTGGACCTGCAGCTTTAATTTGAGATGCATTGTGGAGCGGTTTTGTGTAAGCAAGTAAGTATTAGCCCAAAGATTGATTTCATTAAAAAAAAGAAAACATTAAAACAAAAATTTGAGAACTATGCTTTATTAAAAGTTGACATTTTATAGTGAAATGTGTTTATAAAACAAGTACATATAAAAAGTTTAATTTACAGTTATTTAAAAGGACTTTTAACTGGACTTGTCTGATCCACCATAAACAGCGAGTCAAATAGATTTGTTTAAATACAGTAAAAAAACACTGACAATGTGTTCAAACCTGGAACAGTAATAAAAAGTTTAAAAACCTTTACTTCTTAAAAATGTTAAAAAGTTCACACTGTGTAAAATCTGTCGCCTGCTCTAACTGATGACCTCTTAATAAATAACTAACAGGATTTGGTTTACAAATCTCAGCGGATAAAAACAAACTTGGGAGTGTGGTTGTGTTCAGGCTGTCATCCTGAGTGGTGCTGAGCTTATGATGATTCTACTGTAGGGACGGGTCTGACTTGCCGTCACCTGATTCGCTGACAGGAGCTCTGTGGAGAGGAGATGTTTCAGAATAACACATCACAGCCTCTGGAGATAAAAAATGCTCTTTTTTCTGTCACATTGACCCTGATTGTCCACCGTATTGCTAAGGTTGGCGCATTCCTCACCCAGCAGTTTGTGGAGTGTGTGAGCTGTAGTGAGGCGGTCGGCCTCTGGAGGCAGCAGAGAGTCGAAGGTGACCTCATCAAGCCTCTGCAGGGAGGAGGAGATCCAGCTGGGGGGGGGGGGGGACAGGATGTGTTAGTCCTGCAGCATTCAACTAATTTAGACTTTGAAGGCTTCACGTGGACATGAACATTCTCAGAAACTCCAGGCTTCCAGGCTTTTGGTTCCGATAAACACTTAAAAGTCACGTTAGAGTGTGAACACTGAAGGCCGTGTCCCATAGAGACTGGATTCATGACCTGAATTAAACGAGTTACAGCGCGCGTGTGTAATAAATCATGTTTCTGCATATATGCATTCACTCTGACAGGCCGGCATTACATATTCAAACATATTCTCACATGAGGAGCTCGGCCTGTGCCGCGGGCTCATCCCTGCGGCCTTCTTCTGAATTACAGAGCAGGGCTCAGCGTCGTCAGTAAGTGGGTCATTCTGCGACGCTGGAGAAAAGTCTGTTCACATCACCTTTGTGCGTGAGAATGTTTTGGATGCATGGTCCGAGCTCTGGCTGAGTCTTTGCATTTTGTTCCAACACAGCTAATGCGCCGAAAACGTGCTCATGAACAGACCCCGTTTGGTGCCACCGTAGTGCCCATTTTCCCAGTTTTGCTTCCCTTCTTGTCCATGGCACAGTTTATCTGTGTAATGAATTCCAGCTAACGGCTGTCGGGATGCACGGCCAGCTTTGCTGTGTGTGTGTGTGTGTGTACACTCTGCGGTACCTCAGCATATCCCTGCTCTCTAAGTCGATCTGACCCTCGGGCATCTCGATGTTTTCCTCGGCTATGGGCTCCATCGGTGGCTGGGCTTCCTCCGGTGGGGACCTGCACACGCGCGCACGTGAGGCCTGTGACTCGTGCACTCAGCTGTCCGCTTTTGGCATAGTCTGGGACTCACCATCTGCTGATGGGGGTGACCAGGTCGCTCCCAGATCTGTCTTCTTTGGACACGTCCAGCAGGACGTCTAGCACGGCTGATGGCACATGAGAAACACAGGACAGGTCAGGAGGCGCGTAGACGTTTGTGGAGTTGTGTGTTTTCCGGGGGGACACTCACATGAGGTCTCGGCGGGCTGCAGTCCTGAATCGCTGCGGTTCTGAGAAAACCACAGACGTAGAGGTTAACCGTTTCTATGGAAAGCACCAACGAGCGTCATAGTCTGACTTAACTCCAGCTGCTGCTCAGCGTGGCTCACCTCGCCGGCGCGGGAGTGCGTCCGCTTCCTCTCCGCCCTCAGTACCTCCATGTCTGACTCCCCCTCTGCTCCCTCCGTCTCCTCATTTCCAGGCAGGACGGCGATTGAGGCCTGACGTTGCCATAGTGACAGGATGTCACTGTGGAGGAGAGCTGCGGACAGGTTCAAAAGCAAAAGTCGCCAAAGTGGCTGCTTATAAAAGGGAATAGTTTTTTTGAGTTAAAAAAATTCACACCAAGTTATATGTATATTTTTCTGTCCTTTTCTTTTACTTTGAAAACCTGCAGAGGTGATTGTTTAAGTGTGTTAATTTGAGGTGGGGGGGAGTGTGGTACTTGGTACTGACATCCACAGGGGGCGCCAAAGAGCTGAGCAGGAGTTTCATGCTTGGTCAACGAAGAGAAATCCAGCATCACCTCCGACTGAAGGGAAAAAAAGATGTCAGCCTCTGGTGGTAATGAGCAACTTAAAAAAAAAAGAGATAGGGGAAGCATTGACCCAGGCAGCAAAGAAGCAGGACAACATAACTGATGAGCCCTGTTTCACTGGGGTTAAAGAGGAAGAAAAGAACCAGAGAGCTGCATTTTAATTAACTCACACCCTGGTGAATCGATACTTTGAAGCCAGGCTTTGATCACAGAAGAACAAAGACAGAAATCCAATCGGTCACTGAACCACTGATGCTTGGAAACTAAGAGCGCGTGTGTTAACGTGTGTACCCGCAACAAAAACGGGTTTATTGTGTTGTGAAGTGTCTGTGGAGTGGAAAGGGCCAGTTTTTAACATGAGCCATTTCTTTCCAAAAAGTTCTTCAGACAGAAATGTAAAGAATGCTGCGTGGTGTACCATGTCCAGGGTCTCTGCAGCGGGGTTCCCAATCTGCTCATGCATTGCGGTGTCGGATATCTGGACCTCGGGGTCAGCGAAGACCAGCTGACGCCTGCGTCCTCCGGCCTGCTTCCTCAGGGGGGGTTCGGGCACCTGACGGAAAACCGAGCTATTACATCACTCTGCTGCCGGAAAATCTAAATCCACTTTATGCAACGACACGCCGGCGCATGCTTTCCATTAAGGGCGTAAAAAAAAAAACAAAGCAGGATTACTTTGTGTTCACAGCAAACTCTTAAGTCACCTCTGTTGGTGTTTTCTTGACAGCTTTGGTGGTAAAAAAGCCGTCAGGTTTAGATCCAATTACAAATACGGTGCCCACGTCGTACCTCTTTATAGGGACTCCCGGCTGCTCCGCTTCCCGTCTTCTCAGACGACCCCCTGGTTGGAGTTGGCATGGCCACGTACGAGGGCGTCCGCTCGTGGGCCAGGGTAGCCAGGGGAACCTCGACGGGCTGACCCGTCTCCTCGTCCAGCAGCCACACGCTGTCCCGCTCCGTTCCGGAGGTCGTCTCCCTCAGCCTGCACGCAGCAGCACGCGGGCTTTGACCGAAACCGGCAGGTGTGACGCCCACACGCGCACAGAATGACCGGGGAGTGACACCCGGATGACTGTCTGGAGTTTTTTTTTTTGTTCTTACTGGTCGATGGAGAAAACCCCAATGTCCTGGTTCCTTTCCTGTCCTGGCTGCCCATCTGCTTCTGACACACAATAAAAACGCTATCAGACATTATTGCCTCTCACAAGCCCTTCTTACAGATAAACCAATCTTTTTAGATTTGTATTCCCAAAGAAGGAATTGCATTTCTGTGTTTCTGCTGAGACGGAACATCTTCCAGAAAATGCACCTTTCGTTCTCAACACACTTACACACAATCCAAATCGATCCTTCTTTTCAATTAAAGAAGTGACACTAAGGACTTGACCCAGAAGACAAGTGTGGACCCAGAAGACGAACGCTTTTTTTTTAATAAAGAGCACACACCTCCCCGGAACAGGTCTGGCTGATCCAACAGCAGGTCGATTTCTCTGGCTGTGGCTTCAGGAAGGTCGTCTCCCTCAAAGTACTGATGTGGTGCACGAGAGAGAGAGGATAAGGCAAGAAAAACACACGTGCAAACAACTTGAGGACAGAGAATTGATTAAGTAAAAAAAAACAAGCAAACAAAACACCACAGAATAAAACAGATAGATGCTAATGGTGCCTGAAAAGACAAAAGCAAAGACATGGAACAGACAGGAAGAAGCATGTCGGTAGCAATGAACAGACTGTGCGAGCAGACTAAGATAATTAAGTTAAATCTCATCAAATCAGCTGATGATGTGGATCCCTCTATAAATATCTCCTTCTGTGCACCTTTCGAGTGACAGCAAATGGAACATCTAAGGAGAGCAGCGCTGCTCTGTGCTGGGATTCAAGCGGACGTGTATCTGCTGAGTATGAAAATGATGGCTGAGCCTTTTCCTGAACCCTGACAGAGACTTTACCTCAGCAGTGCTGATGACAAATGGCTCTTTCTCTCTCAGGGTGATGGAAGCAGGAGTCAAACTCGATCCTGGTTTAACACAAAAGGACAAACGGGTCAGCCGAGTATGAGCTTCCAAACAACAACAGCCAGGGTTCCAAAGCAGAGGAACTCTATTGAGCTGTCGTGATGACTGCTGTGGAAGTGGGAGCTTAAAATGCAGCCACACCTGAAGAAGTGTATAGCTAGAACATTCCAGACTGTAAATAGGAATCTCCCCCTTACTGTTTAATGCGGCGTGAGCACTGCGCTCCAGGGAATGCCGGATATCTGCTTCTTCATACACCAACTCCAGCTAGAAATAAAATGACCGACATCAACAGAAAAACCAGAGGCAGAGTGTGGAGTCTGGTTACTGTGGAATGACTGTGACCCTGAGGATAGTAGCCTAATATGTATGGGCTTCTAAAAGGGGACATCCAGATAAGAGATATCCACTCCCTGCTTTGTGATGTTTAGATGCATATCGTTTAAAAGGCTACAGCACTATCCTCCGACTGGCAGCCAATAACTCGCTCATCATTTGTTATCTTTAATCCTCTGCAAGAACAAGAGGTAAGTGTATTCATAAAATGACGACTTTAGGGGATGGAGACTTAATGTTTCACAAACATTTCAAATGAAAAAGATAACTATTATGTGGGTGTAAGTCATATAAACTGTCGTACACCAGAAAGATTTGGTCCTGTGTGTATTGTGCTCAGATATATCCAGACTGTGGTCAGAAACAGTAATTTGCTGCAGCGCTTGTGCAAATGCGACCTGAGTAACCCAGTTTAATGATTTGATCAAATTAGAGATGTTTTGGACACCAGATTTTTATCAATATGAGAGAAAGAAACAATAGTCATGAACCCTGCTTGAGATACCTAATGCTGACCATATCCTTCCTGCGCACACTTACAGTCTCATGTGTCTTTCAGTGACATACTACCCATTACCATTCAGCGTATGGCTGCAATGACACATGTATTGAATGTACCTGCTGTATTTTATAGGGGCTGGGTAGCTGGTGAGATTCCATGAGACCAAAGAATGGGTCCTGAGCTGCTTCAGACTCTTCCATCATGTGGAGGTCATCAGGGACCTCCAAGGCCATCCTGCCACAGGAAAAAAACAACGCCGTTATAACTTAACATACAACTGCACGGGATGATGCAGTAGTACATATTACTCAGTTTGCAGTTTTTAAGCCATGCTTGATTCTCTCCATGACACAAAAAAATATTACATCAAAAGTCTAAAAGCTCAGATTCCTCCAAAATTATCCAACCTTTTCTCAGCTGAAAGTTTAAGGATACATAACTCCCTTCCAGTGACCAATATGGGCCTGTGTATGGGTGTTTTACCTGTCAGATTGAGCCATGTCGATAAGGGTGCTTTTCTTAGAGCGCAGCAGGCGGTCAATGATTTGTTGAACCTCCTCTGGAGCACAGAAAGGGGGTTACAGGTTCTCAAAAACAGCTAAAATTGTACTAAACACTGTAAACACGAGCAGGAATCAGTGATGTTAACAAGTTTCTGATGCACAAAATCTCATTTTAAAGCACAGCAGTGCTGAAAATCCAGATTCGGTGGACAATGAATTACCTTTTTCCCCCATTCAGAATAAAATATATTTTATTATTATATGACAATGACTTGTCAGTTGAATACAAATTGAGGATACCAGATTGACTGTGAAGCTGCTGCCAGTATCGGTGTCAGCGTGTAATTTAAACTCAGATGAATCAAGACTGCTGAACTGAGTCTGATGATACAGATACAGATTTCCCTTGGCACCGCATTGGCCTTAAAATCACACATCAGGGTGAGATAGAAAACAGCATCTGTGGTGATAGCGCTTTTGCGTTTTTTTTCCCACCCAAAGAGAGAAAAATTATTGACCGGCCCTGTTTTGCATGAGGGAAATTCTAGTTCCCCCATGTCTTGCTAGCCAAAATAACTGAAACAGGAAGTTCAGATACAAAAGACAGCCAACATAGTTTCTGATCTTTGATCTGCATATGACTGTTTGTTTCCTCACTCACGGAGCAGGATGCCACACTGTCTGTGGTACACCACAATCACCCCATACTGCAGCTGAGAGGACAGGTAGAGGGAAAAGCGAGGCCTGGGCTGGTTAGGCTGCGGAGAGGGAACCTGGGCGGTCACATAGTCCAAGATGTCGCTGCTGTAAACATTTAAAAACAAGACGGAGATTTTGACAAAGGCGTACCTATACTTACAGTACAGTACTTCCTATGAGACCTCAATTCTCATGTGTTTAGGTAGAGACTAAATAAACGTAAATAAATCGATTAAAAGATTATTTGCTTGAGTCAAAAGTGGCACAAGATATATACATATGGTGTTTGCTGTAAATCCTAAATGAAAAAAGGTGGAGTTGTGTTTCAGGTGGCAAGAAAACGGGTTTCATGAGATGACCTTACTTACCAGGTTCGCTTTACATTGACCCTGAGAAACTCCCTTCGCGTCACGCGGATGCCTCGAGTGGCCGCTAACCTGAACAAAACAAAAAAACCCATATAAAAGCAAGCTAAAAAAGCTAATTAAATTTTTAAAAACTAAAAGTATTAAGTATCTCATAATTCTAATGTAGCTTTCGTTAGCTGCTAAATAAAGCTTCGGCAGTTCGCTAGCTTTGCCACTGAAAAACTCACAGACTTTGATTTTTAAACTTACCAAATTGTCGAAAAGCATCCTGTATGGCGTTGGAGGACATTCGGGTAGTAAAACATTTTGTTATAAGTTAGTAGGTTCTAACGGAATATGCGTTCAAAAAAACTAAACTAATATTCTTGGGTCAATGTTTTTAGTTTCCCGCGACTCAGGACATCCGACCAATCAGCTTGTCAGAAAAGAAAATTTGAAAATAATTTGTAATACATTTTTTGTAATAATGTGTCATTGCGATTTATGGCTTTTCCCAGCATGCTTCGCGCCATGATTGGTTGTATCATTGTTACAAATGTAAATTTGTTGGGTATGGGTAGTTATCACCAACAGCTTTTTCTGCATTATGTTTAATTTCATAAAAAGAAATACTGGGTGGATATTTGAGAAAATGCTGCCTACAAGATCATTTCACCAAACGTATAAATCACATTCATAACCCGTTCATAATTCAGCATTGGTGCCAAAAGCTGCTTTAATAAATACTATATTACCTTGGAAAAACACTGAAGTATCATCATTGATCACTGATTTGTGTTACATTCTATTCCATTTTATTTAACATCACTTACTAAGGAAAAACATTCTGTCATTGGTACTTCTAGCACAAATCTATACTCACGCATGCACAGCACCTATTTTTACTCTCAGTAGAAGTGAGTACTTATAGTTCGGATGAACTTCCCTTCCATTTTTTATCAAAACTTATATTGACGGACTTAGCTTTATTTTTAAACCGTGTAGTACTTTCAAATGTTGCACTCCTGTTAGGTGTAATTCTTGTTTTACGACTTTTGCTTTAAATTATTTTACTGGCAGGACCTATTTTTACTGAGTTGAAAGAAAAGGAAAATGCGTGACGTCACTCTCCTTATGGGAAGTGCTGAATGATTGGCCGCGCCTCTGTGCGCGAGGAGGCGGGTAGTTAACGTCTGCTGCTGAAGTCTGATTGAAGCAGCTGGGAAGAGAAACTACTGCAAGAGGAAACACAGTCCGCAGTTGCTCTGCAGATTTTTTTTTGACAGAGCACTCCCTTTAAAATGGCGTATCACAGTCCGTACAGAGCTCAACCACATATCAACGCTCCTCCGGACCAGGGTTTTCTATGGAATATCTTCCAAAGGTGAGTGTGGGGAAAGGCGGCTTGTTTCGCTTCTGTCTGCCGGGTTCTTACTCCGCTCCGCAGTGAAAACTGCTGTCGTGTAAAGCGCGGAGGGGAAGAGAGAGGGGTGGTGGTGGTGACATTAAGTATTTCATTGACATCTCGTTTTTTACGTCTTCAGTCTAACGTTCTTCAGCTCATACCGAAAGTCCGCTATGAAAATAGTTTTTTCACCGTCTGTAGGTGAGCTCTTAGTTGCATAGTACCTGAAGATACTACAGTAGAGTGTAGTCATGAAACGCCACGCAATTCATAACCTATGGCTATTGGTCGTCAACCATCTGATAATAAAAGCACACGTTACATCACTGCATCTATGTCATTATTGTATGGATTTCTGTTTTTGTTTTTGGTATGTTGCTATGAAATCACGATAGCTGCCCTTTTTTACGGTCATTAGGAGAAATGGGAGTTTTTAAAACCTCTGTTTGAAGACCTCCAGGAGTCCTTGAAAGGTTTTTTGCTCTCTGCCAGAGAGGCAGTTGAGTTTAAACTTTATTCATACATGTCTCATATACCTGATAATGGACTTCCTCCACCAGTAAGAGCCACCCTTCATCACATCTGTGGCAACTCGGGTAGAAAGATGCCAGTTTGGGGTTCACAGAAAGGGAAAGAAACTAATCGGATTATGGTGATCTGATGGACTTTGTTTACATGAGGCTTGCATGAGAACAGTCACCCATGCTGAGGTAGTTTTCAACCAGATAGTCACACGCTTGCTTAGTCAGATTCAAAAGTGTGTCAGCGGCTGTGGCAGTCATAGTAGATGGCAGTGAGTGGAAATGTTGATTTGGTTTGGCCCTTGGTAATAATAAGCTATATGGAGTTATGTAATACTGCAGAGGATTTGCCATTCAGATGTTGCAAGTGTTTCAAAGCTTGGACCCTAACAATTGTTATTTACAAGTGCTGCAAAAAGTGAGAAATCAGTTAGGATGGTCACTTTTCTTCCCATATACATCTTCTGTCTCGTTTTAATCCACACACTCCTGCGCTGTCATCCACTCTCTCAGAAGCGGCACCTCCCCTCCCTGAAAATCATGACTTTACATATGTGGAATCATTTTTCCACTGTAAATGTCAAACCAATAGAACATTTATGACCGTGATGTGCTCATACAGTCGTCATCCCTCACACTAGCCGCCCTATCTGCTGGCCCTCTATGAATATCTGGCAGAGCTTTGCTGGAATTCCCTGAGTCATGTGATCAAAGTCAGTGGAGCAGAGTTGAGGTGGGAGGCCTCTTATGCAAACACAGACACGCATACCTTAATGATCCATGACTCACTGACTTCTTTAAAAAAAATCCATTCCATTCACAGGTAACTTACCTTTTTCATTCAGTTGAGCAAAGCCCTTGTGAAAAGGTTGTTGAAGTTTGTCCAGGTTTTACCCAAAGTTGACCACCAGATTTAGCCTATGTGTGGACTACATTCTGTTTTATGACTCGTAACTGAGTGAATCATCTTTTCCATCCATCTGGTCATCCTTGAACTCTTTTCTGATGGCATGACAAAAATGTTTGCACCCAGCCCTCTGCAAGTAAAGAATGGTTTTTGTTTTTTTTCCCCCCTGTCAAATAAAGTATACAAACATGTTGCTATGGTAGAAAAACAACACGTGTGGTGACTGCTTACCCTAAATACTGACTATTTTAATCTCAGAAATGGAAAGTTGGACAGACATTTTTCCCCTGAGGCTGCTGTTAATGGAGATTTCATCCGGTAGCTTTCCCATTTTTTCCAAGCAGCAGTGACATTGTCTAACTTTTGGACTTCTTATGTGGAAAGACGGGTGGGTGATGTTCTTCAAGGCAACTTTGCCCGATAGGAAAAAGTGAAACACGAGGAAAATCTGAGCAGAGTAACCGACTCGGTCATGGCGCTTTTATATCGTTCTGCTGGGAAGCCCTGTGTTTGACAGCGTGAAGATGGAAACAGCAGATGGTGTCTGTTCTGCAGGCGAGAGGGAGTTTTAACGATGCTCCTACTTTTTTTCTTTTTTCTCTTTCATTTGAGAGGGAACTTTTCCTGAGGCAAAGTCAGACCCTGAGATGAGGGCAGGAGGCTGGAGAAAAGGGGAGAGCTTACACTGCACACACACTTCTTTGAGTTCATCTGTCAGTGTTTGGTAAAGGTTGGGTTGCCTCCTCGACTGTGTCCCACACCACTGCTCCTCACCTTCATAGTGACAATGCTCTCATTTATGGTGTGGGCTACTTGGAGATATTTTCCTTCCACAGGCAAACCAAACAGGTCTCTGTGTTTGTTTTTCTTAATTTAAGTAGCTGGAGGTGTACACAAACATATAGCTGATCACTGTATAGAAAGCCACGTAGGCTCCAGGCATAGAGACATGACCACACAGTAATGCATCACAGCTGGGAGCAGAACCCTAGCCCACAGTCAGGACAGAGTCGTGTTTTCTCTGCCGGTGTCTGTGTGTGTGTGTGAGAGAGAGTTTGGGGTTTCCCGTCTCCTCCCGTCTGACTTCGTCTCTTGTGGTATTCAGAGAGGAGTGAGCACTGCGTCAACAGGTTAGGCCACGCTGGTTGCTAAGAAACAACTGAGTCACTGGATGTTTGACTAAACTCTGAGGCATGTTATTTGTGCTACAATTCAGCCTCTTTAGGTCTCTACATCTTGGAGAAAGACTCATGATGGAGTTAGCTTTTTGCCGTTTTTACCCTCATGTAAAATGACTTCACATGTAGTCAGAATATAACATAAGAAATCTGGCTAAGATGGAGGAATCCAAATGCCTCAGTCCAGGCTTCTAAACAGCTGAAGTCAGTCAAAGGGTAAAGTCTTGTCCGCAGATGTGTGCAGCATTATGTGCAGACTTTGTAATTAGAATAAAATCTCAGAGACATTGGTGGATGGGTTTATCGCCTCTGAAGGCAAAATAAATTAGTTTCAAGGTAGCTGGTGAGTTTTCTGATACAGAAATGTGTATAGATGAAGAGGGTTTTCATCAAGCTTTTAATGAGAATTTTCAAGGTGAGTCATCATGGCTGATAGGACTTTGGCTTCATTAAGGCTGAATCAGTCGAATGGTTCTGCTGTTACATGTGGCTTGTGTTCACAGGCTTCTTAACTTTGTATCAGTGTTGGGAAACAAGCATGCAACATTTCTAAGCTTTTAAGTCCGTTCTATAAAGAAACATTCCTTTCTGTAAAAGTGGACTCAGAAATAACCTGCTCTGTCACTCTGAAATGACAGATCAAGGTAAAAGTCCTGAATCTGTCTGAATGCCCAGTTTTGGTGTTAATCTTAATGAATTATTAGTCTAAATCAATTTAAACTATCATTTTTTACAACTTATATTAATTTCCCTTCGCACATGAATAAAGTATTCTAGTTAGGACTTTTGTATTTTTGTCATGTGTGAAAGAACACGGAGGGCATGGTGGGTGGACTACCTCTGCATTCCTGCTGATCTGAGCCAACAAGGAAGACATTAACAGAGGTGAAACAGGTTCTAAGTGCATAGTGGAATAAGGGAACACAGACCTCACTTTAGTTGACACTGTCATAACTGCGTGCATAAGAACACACAAATGTGGCTTTATATTCCTCTCTTTGAAATGTTTGTACTTCCAAGAAGGAAGAGCAGCAGGTTAATCAGGATGTTTTTTTTGTTTTTTGTTTTTTCAACAAACAGGAGCTGATATGTGGACATGGCTACTGTAAATTAGATTCCACTTTGGAGGCTATCTTTGTCTATTCTGTTACATAAAACTTGACTGGTAGATTCATTTGAAATGAACAAGTGAGATACTCATTATTCAGATTCCTTTAAGGCCCTTTTCCATCAATCTATGCCTAGTTCTCGTTTAATTTATTTCAGGGTTCTGAATCAGAGGTAACCATACAATGCATGTTTCTGGACTGTGGGAAGAAACCGGGAGCACCAGGAGAAACCCATTATGAAGCACTGGGGGTACATTTAAGCTCCCATAAGTCTCTGGGATAATTTTGGCTGTGAGGGGGCAGAGCAGACCTCCAAACTGTCTTGCAGCCTTATAAACTCAGACATTAATTTTTTTGGTAAATTGTCATTTATGGAATTGGATTAGTCACATTGCAGTGTTATGATGGTTTCTGCTAAGCTGTCTGACACTGGTAATCTGTTTTGTTGTAAAGATACAGGTTTAAAGTCAGCGTGCAAACCTTGTCTGTGTTTGGGATAGCTTTCGCTTTTAAAACGCGTTAAACCGTCTGAGATTCCTAAAAGAACATTCCACGCTGGGAGCGCCAAAAGTAACCCGCTTGGATGCCAACATTCAGTTTCACTTTTCTCTCTAAGGATCAACACACGGGTAAAGCCTGTCAGGCTGGTCTCCCTGAAGTGTGAGCGTACGGGCTGCCCTGTGCGCCCTGATGATGGAACTGCATTCACTCCTGCCGGCTGAAACACTCGCACATGCCCAGAGGGATAAAGTTTCAGCTGGCGAGTGCTGATATCTGCTGCTATTGTGTGTTGGAGTTTGCGTGGGTGTGAGGTGGATAAAGCAGCCAGTCCCTAATCTGTGTTTTCCTCCCTAGGGTTGACAAGGACCGGAGTGGAGTGATATCAGACTCAGAGCTTCAGCAAGCTTTATCCAATGGTGCGTACCCACTTTCTGCTGCTCTGTCCGCTTATTATCTGTTACTTTTTCAATGCTGTTATCTCTCCCGATCTCCCCGTTTGATCTAAACCGCTGCTGAGCGCTAGCAGAAGATGAAATGGGGTGTATTTTTATCCCTGGTTGGCAGGTGAATTATAGAAAATGAATGAAGTTTTATTTAGAAGTTTTCTTTTCCATAACAGAAGAGAAGCAAGTGGGCAGCTTCTGTGTGTAGTTTCAAAGCAAACAGATATCAAAAGAGATAGCAGAATTATTCATCATTCCTCAACAAAGAAATAAAAAAACAAAAGCAAAAGTGCATAATTGATTTCACTACATCTGTCTGACCTCATCATGAGAAACAGAGAAGAAACAATGTAAGAAACAGAGCTGGTGTTGTGGAGCTTGCAGCCTGGCTGATGGTCTACTTTGGGACATGAAGGTTTCAATGTAACACTGATGAACATGCTGCCGTCTCAAGGATATTTTGCTTCCGTAAGTGAACATACAGAGTGCTTTGGTTAAAGCGTTGCATGTCCAAATACATTTCAGTTGTTTTAATGTAAGAATAAACCAACATTCACCCTCTGGTTTCCACACAGAGCAGAGGGGTGTCGTTGGGGGCTGGAAGCTAAAGTTCTGAAGTTCTAAAGTTTAGGTCCACGATTGTGTGTTGACGGAGATTGGTTGACTACTGATTCAGACATTCTACTTTTTAAGGATCAGAACTTTTCCACAGTTGCTTCACTGAGTAATTGTTATAAGTAATTGTGAATAGGATGTTGTAATCAGGGTTATTGTTTTTGCCATCAAGCAGCTTTAGCGTAAGTAATTGTCAAGTGGGTGATGAAAAAAATGATGAGCCTTTAAAATGGCCTGATATGGTCTCTTTGGAAGTCATTATAATGTGGTCTTAATCAGAAATAAATTAAACCCATCTCTGAGTACTGCAATGACAATAAATATAATTAGCAGACATGATTAATAAATCAACAGTGGAAGGACTCGTTAAAACACGAGGATTACAGCTAATGATAGAAGTACAGTCACTCTTGGCTCCCTAAACATGGAGGAGACAGTTGAGGATAAATGTTGAGTAAACGATAAACGTTCTTTGCTCCAAATCCGAGACAAATTAATTCATCTTCGTCTCATGTTGAAATGAGCGTGGCTGGCTAACCAGAGCAAGCTGGGAAAGAAGCCGGCTTCCACACCACACTGCACCAAAGCTCTCCCTTGACCTTGGTTGCAGTGAGGCAGCAGGGGTGGAAAAACGGCGCGTTTTGGAGTTGGATGCTCTGGCAAAGGTTGATTTCTGCCCTTTTGTTAAGAAATCAGATGTTTCCCCCATCAAGTTTATGTTTCCACTACATATTTTCAAAGACCGTTGTGTGCTTCACACTCCGAGAAACCCATTTTTTCTGGGCACTTCAAAGGAGCAGAAAAAGCAGCATAGAAGCCAGCAGCAGCAGTCAGGAGCCGTTATCAGGCTGCACAGCGGCTCTGGCTGGGCATACTGATTAGAGAGAGAGAGTGTGTGTGTTTATGTGTGTGTGTGTTATGCATGCATGCATGCACAGGCTCATGTATTTATCAAGAGTATATTCATGTTGCTTGCTTCATCAGCTTTTTGCCAAGGCTCACAGTTCTTGTTGAAAGACTTGGCCGGTGTGTGTTTATTTCCATGTTGTGTAGAGCCGGCGTGCTCCTTCCACGCTGTGTGTTCTTGTGGTGAGCGGCAGGTTTCCCGGTCCAGACTTGGAATGTTCATTAGACACACCGAACACGCTGCACCGCGTCCTGCCCTGTAGTTTGTTGCCGCCGGTGTTGGGCTTTTGTGCACGAGTGAAGCTTATTTTCCCTAACTGCATTTTTTTGGTTAAGATTCAAATCTCTTTTTGCTTCAGCTAGTTGTTGCTTTTGCTTTCGTTTTCTGTTTATAAGCGCAGAGGGGCCTCCATGTCTCATCCTCCTATACTCCTTTTTTTTTTCTCACCCATCCCCCATGTTTTGCCTTTCACTTTCCATTTGTGCCACCTCCCCCCCTCATACAGAGACACACACACACACACACCACCCCTCTGTATGTCCTTGGGTGTGATAGAGTATCGTCTCTGATGCGACTGTGATTGGCTACGTGCATGTGCATGTTGTGTGCATGTCTTGTGGCTGTGCGATTTGCTATAAATATGGATTTATTTGGGCCTCCCTTCTCTCAGCGGTGAGCAGATATCGCACAATGTGCCGCCACACTCCTCCACTCTCCGGCGCACGCGGATTTACTCTCCTCCTTAGTTATTTATTAAAGTGTGTGGGAGCAGTGGTGCACTGAAACTGCTGACAAGCCGCGCTGGCTGAACGACAGGACCTTAGAAGCTCGTTCAGCAGTCCATGCTTTTTAGACTTGATCTGAAAAACTGTCATCCTGAAGTTGGATCAGGATGGTGATGGACGCTGATTTCTATCGGCCAATATTACAAATTTGCCGTCTCTGACAAGTGCGGTGGCACCTTCAGGGCTGTTTTGGCTGGATTACCTGAGCCAGTCCTGTCCCACATTCGTGGCTGTAGACCAGCTCTGAGCTGGCTAACCAACTGCTTGGTAGCTATTTTTATTGTTGTGTGACACATTAGCAACAATTTGGTAGAGTTCTGCTGAATGATTGTTCTCACTTGTCTGTATACCTTTCAAATCAGTCCACAGCCTGCCCATATTGTCCCCCAATGTATTTATATATGGTTGTGTGCCTAGAATAAAGCATAATTTTGATGGCCTGTAGCAAAAAGAACTGTGGAATGGAATGTTCTCGTTCTCATTGCCCTTCATAAAGGCCAGCCCACAGTGCTGAAGGAGATGATAAAGGCAGCAGCTTTGCTGCTCACATTCCTCTGAGTACCGTACTTCAAACTTTGAGGATGATTCTAAACCAAAAAGATCATCTGACCAGGATTGCTGTTGCCCTGAGTGTAATGAATGTTAGAATATTATCACACCTTAAGGTCCAGATTATAAAGATTCTAACAACAAGCATCCCTGCTTGTGGTCATTAGAGATGTATTTCTTCTTCTTTTGGGTCTGCCTTTGTCAGACATGAGGCTTCAAATTGCTAATATGCAAAGGGTATAAGTACTAAGTATAAGTGTCTCACTGAACTCCTCCACGACCGTTATGTTTGTTCACATGCTGTGGTGACGGCGCTCTGTTTTTCTACCAGCCTGCCTCTTTCTTCACCTCCTACGTTCCTTCTCTCCCCTCCGCCTCTTTCTGCCCACCTCACCATTGGCAGTCCGGTCTGCCAGAGAGAGGGCTCTGTGTGTGGACGGGACAGAGGGTTTATTGTCCCGGCTTACCAGCAGACGCACACAAGCTAACCACCTCACTCTTTCTGGTGTAAATGGGTGACCTCACAGCTAGATCCTGGTGTGAAACATCTGTAAGATTCTGTGCGAGTTTAAGAGTCTGTGCACAGCCTGTGGTTTGTTGTTGAAAATTCTTATGCAAGGCTTTAATAAAGTTCCTATTCCCAAAACCACTGGGCATAATGATAGTGTTTTTCTTTTTTAATGTCAGCTTACAGTTAGCTTCTCCACTCTTCCTCCATTTAGCAGTCATTAATAAGGCTTCATGAATACTTCTCTAAACTTTTTGCGGGACGTTTTAAAGATGTTCTTTGAATTTTTGGCAGCATTTTTTTTCTGTTCTGTTCTTCAGGTTCTGTTGTCATTCATTTGTCAGACCAACCTTTTCCCCATGTTTTCCTAACTTGAGAATGGCTGCTAGACTGCAGCCTTTCCAGGGAGACCATTTAATTTTAGCAAACATATTTTAAAGCCAATTTTTCAGTGACTGTTATGTGAACACAGTTACTGAGACGGTTACATTTGATTAAAAACAGAAAATAAGGCAGAAAACTCAAGCGCCAAAGAAATAAAGCTAAGACCACTTCAAGTAGTAAGTGTAAGTACATGATAGAGAAAAGAGGGGTTGGCTGGATTAGTAGATCCATGTTGTTTTACTCCAGTGTTTCTTTCCCTACCCTCCTTCCATCAGCACTGTCTGACTAAATAGATTTAACTGGAGGGCATCCAAAGTTTGCCTGTAGGAGAGGTCTTTGACTAAGTTTAGTAAAGTTTGTAGCTGCAGGCTAAAAATCACCAATATTCTTTGTCTGTTTTGCTTTCTTTGCTTTCATGTGTTTCAGCATATTTGAAATCTTACAAAGGAAATGGTAATTTTGGGAATAAAAATAATAACCGATTTTGAAGTCAATAATTTCTTTTTCAGTTGTTTCATATCAGGTGAATTATAAATTTATGTCTGAACCTCAGCTCCAGTAAGGGCCTCAGGTCGGTTAACCGAACTGAGCAACATCAATAAAACCTACCAGAGGAAGAATAGAACTGTTACCAAATCCTAAAGCTTGCTTTAACCTCACTTATCATTACCTGGAGCACAATAATGGCTTTTGAAAGATTATATCGCAGTGAATAGGCACCGGCTTGCTTTTTGTCTTTAATCTCTCATACGATGAGGTGCTCTTATCGCAGGTTCATGCTGCAGACTCATCGCTAGCGTAGCTGAACTGTGGGGGGAAATCACAAACCAACAGCTCAGTGTGAGGAAGCCCCAACAATGTTGGCGCAGTGTCAGAGTTCTGTGAAATTAGTTTTAGGGTCTGCAGATGGAGTCGTAGAGAACAGTCTGAGTTCAGCAAAAGCAAGTCTAACAGCCCAACAACTGCAACACAAAAACACTAAGATTCCATTTTCTTCTCACCTCATGCTCCGTTAGAGGTTATCCTCCCTCTTGCCATATTTATTCTTTATTTTAATCTAGCTATTTTCTGTGTTTTGTCCTCGCCTCCCATCATCCTCCCACAGTCACCTCTTTCCTCTCCTCTGGTTGAACACTTTCCTTGCCTGCCATTAAGAGACAGAGTGACTCAGCAAGTCGATCCGATACATCAATGTGTCTTCAGGGTTGTGTGTGAAGCAAGCTATAAACTTGAAGCTCTCATCTAAACTTTAGGGTCTATCGATCTTATCTGAGCACATAAATGGCAGGTCAATGTACTTACAATAGAAGATTCCATTCTGAATGGGAAAAAAAGACCAACTTCTATTCTTCAGGTACAGAGCTGTAAAGCGTCAGCAAGCAAGTCCGCTTTTTATCACGTCCACATACTTTAGTCTTCGCTGTGTTGAAAAGCAAATCCCATAAACCCATCTGCTGCAGTCGTTACTGCATTTGGTGAATCCTGTTATGTGCGTCTGTCGGTACATCTTCAGCGTTCGGCTCTCCTGCGGGAGCAGAACCTGAACTCTGTTGTGGGACAGTCGGCACACACAGATCATTCCTGCTCCCCTGATGAACTGTACAACAGGAGGATGTGGCTCAGGAAAGTCAAACTTTACAGCCGACCTCATCAGAGACATGTGCAGGGGCATGTAGAGGTTTTCCTGTTTCTCTTTGGCAAATCTCCTTACACCTCATCAGTGTTTTTTTTCTTACATTTCTTCTATTTCGTAACCACTAAATCTTTCCGTTAGTGTTTATAGGGGTTCAGTGCTATGAGATTCTTGGACCGGCCTGCATGCGCATGAGGCCTGTTTGCAGATACTTTATGATGTCTAAGCTCGAGTATTGTTGGTGGCTACGGTAAAATCTTCAGCTCACACCTCTTTATTCAGTCCTTTGCGGGTTTTTATGAGCGATCTCTTATTACAGAGGCATTTCATCTTCATCTTCTTCCCACAGCATGTGGGGTCTGCTCCCAAAATCTGCTTAAATTGATCAGAATCCAGTCTTCACCCGATCAAGACTTTGGTTCCTGTGCCTGCAAAGCACTAATGTATGAGCGGTCCATCCCTGTGCTCAACAGTTCCTTTCAGTCAGCCATTATTCAAGAAAAATTGCTCCTACTTGTTTAAATATTTAATATATTTAACAGTGGTGTATATTACTTCTGAAGTACAATCCATAAGATTCAAGATCTGTTTTGAAGTCAAAGTAATCGGTTACAAAATATCTTGATCCTCTTACTTGATATATTTCAAAGTTTTATTATTAACTTGCATATCTACTCAACTTTACATAAAAACAGATATTTGGATGAGGTGTACAATGTCTGCTTTGCTTGGCGTAATAGTGAACCAAATGAGTATCTGTTAACACTTCTGATATGAGTCAAGATGTTGCTCATTGCTCCAATAGATGTTCACTGCTGGCCGTAAGGCTTTTGCACTGGTTGTGCGTCCACGCTGGCTGTGCTTACAGGTGCCTTTCAATGCAGACGGGCTATCAGTAACTAGTTTCAATACTCTTATTCAATTGAGTTTGAGTTTTATCCTCTTTAGAGAAGCTAAACCAGCCTTTTTTTTATTGCTGCTGATATCATTATCATTGTTATTTTAGCTACAATCTCTAATAGTTTTTTTTTTCTTTTCTTATCTTTCGTCAGTGTTCAGTTTTTTAAATGCGGCCACTGCTTTTTGGTGTGTGTTTGTTTTAAAAAAATATTGTTTTAACTGGTGTTCATCTGATCTGCAGGCACATGGACTCCTTTTAACCCGGTGACAGTCCGCTCCATCATCTGTAAGTAACCGCTGACATCCACACAGCCAGGCTTCACATAACTGCCTCCACACTGAAACCTCCAGTTATTTGTTTATCTCCTTGCCATGGCAACTGGATAAAGTCATTAAGTTGCGAAAGGACAAACAAACTTAACTTTTGTTTGACGGAATGCTGCTCTAGTGGAAACCTACAGCCATCAATAAGCGACAGAGACGGCATCTGCAAGTAACTGATGACAAAGAGAAGCAGCCAGTGGCCTGGGACTCTAAGCATTGATCCACTGGGAAAAACTTTTAGCTCTGCAGTGTCGTAAGGACAAGGCCGGCAATTGTTTAACACATCGCCCGCATGAGCCACTCAGATATTTGAGTTTATGTTTTTGTCAGTAGCAGTTAATTTGGCTGAACTCCAGCCTCCACTTTAAACACAAATAAGTAAATGCTCCTGCTGTGTTCCTTTTGCTGTGTGTACTTTGCTCCCTTTTTGTTGTGCAACTTCAAGAGTTTCACTGGCCTCCCCCCTGCACCATGCGCAGTAAATCCATTGTTTAATAGTTCAACAGAGAAGCATATCTTGCGATAACACTCCCTTTTGTTGGCGGGTAATTGGATTGAGCCACATGGGAATGAGGAGTGGAGCAGTGGAGTGGGGAGTTGCTCCCTTTCTAAGTGATGAAGCGGCTCCACAAGGAACTGCTATTCAAGTGTCAGGGTGTGCAAAAACCCTGCAAAACTGCTTGTTGTGCCACATTGGCTACATTGTAACTGGTACCGTCCAAGCTGCTTTCCAAGTCTGACTTTTTCGGAGTCGCGTGTAAACTCAATGTACGTTCGTACATGACATGACATGATTACACTGTACCTTATACTTGACTCCCTCCCTCAGCCATGTTCGACCGGGAAAACAAAGGTGGCGTGAACTTCAATGAGTTTGCAGGCGTGTGGAAGTACATCACAGACTGGCAGAACATCTTCAGGACCTACGACAGAGACAACTCCGGCTTCATCGATAAAAACGAGCTCAAACAGGCCCTGACTGGATTCGGTGAGCAGAAAAGTATGCTTTTATTTCAACTTGATTGCCGTGGTGGAGGGCTGATGGCTGCCTGTAGGACTGTCCTTACTTTGGGTCAGTGGGTCAGGTGTTGTATCTGCTTGACTGTTTGTAAAGTAGAATACTAAAACAAGGGTATGGATTTCTGTTCCTGTTTTAAACTTGCCTCTTTTATGGTAAATATTACAGCCATTCATTTCTACCTTGATTCCAAGAGCAGTCCAAGTCATACAGGATAAATGGATCCAACAAAAATTGGATTAAAAGATTAAATTTTATCTGAACTGCATCAGCGGCAAGTTTGAAATAAAATGTCTGAGATTTACAAACCCTGTGTGTTTTAATTTGTGTGAGCTCTGTTTCATTGTGAATCATTGGGTCTATGTGGAGTCTCTCGCTAAGTTCAGAGATTTTGGCAGACTTGTATTTAATGTGCAGTTTACATTTTTATATGACCATATCAATATTCCTCATAGCTTGTTCTTCAGGCTGGGCCACTCTGTGCAGATGTCCACAGCTCTGCACAGACAATTAGTTTATTTTAAGAGTCTTTATCTGGTAAGATCATTCATCTATTATGCCCCTATCACCCATTGGAGATACTTCTTGAACCTTCAACTTATTTAACCGCCAGGTTGATTCCCCTTTAGGATCCAAAATGTGTCTAAAGTAGACAAACCCGAAATAACAAAATGCAGTAAACACAAGCTAAGTTTGAGAGACAGAATGGTGAGAGATGGGGCTCCTTCCGAATGCCCACCTTATTACTGATGTACCTGATTACTGTGTGCAGGTTACCGTCTCTCAGACCAGTTCTACAGCACTCTGATAGAAAAGTTTGACCGTCAAAGGAAGGGGCAGGTGGCATTTGATGACTTCATCCAGTGCTGCATCGTATTACAGGTAACACTGGTGTCCTGACGCTTCCTGCCCTGTTGGACCCCGTCATGTTTGGCTCATTTTTACTCTGATCTATTCAAATAGATTCTGTTCTTTTCTTCCCATGCCAATATAACATTGTCAAGTTTTTTTTTTTTTGTACCTTTTTTCTTTTAGGCAGGGAAAATGTTTTTAAGAATAATTCTACAAGTTTAGCATTTCTTTTGGAAATCTTTTCAAAGAAAATTTCAAACAGATTAAAATGAGATGGGTAGCCTCATAATCTCATTGTCTCACATTCTTTACTGTTTTATAACTTAAAATATGTACATGTGTATATATTTTCAACTTGCTAAAGGCCACTGTTTTCTGTCCTCTGCTCAGAGATTGACTGACGTTTTCAGGCGATACGATACGGACCAAGACGGCTGGATCCAGGTCTCTTATGAACAGTATCTTTCCATGGTCTTCAATGTAGTATAAAGTACACGGATGGCCGCAGAAGAGCACAACTGGACACAACTGTGCCAAAGTTCCCGTCACTGTCTGGATGTCTGCCATGACAAGCACTACAAGATTTTTTTTTTTTTTAACCCAGTTGGGCAGTAAAATAAGAATTTATGTTAAGACAAAAAAAAGAATACAGCACTTGATGTATGTTGAAAAAATCTTGTAGTGTTTTGTTTGTTTACAAACCTGAGCGGAATCTGTGTTGGGGACTCTGGGTTGGAGACTGTCGAGGACAAATCTATCTTTCTGTCAGTCTGTCTGTTAATGTTAACAATATTTTTAATGTCTTAACTTTAACTGAAGAAGAAAAAAAAATCTGGTGAGAATAAAATAATGCATTGTAAATATGATTTAAAATGCATTGCATGCTTTTCAGGGAAATCTAACCCCACACTGAAGCATGCTTTCCCTCCTCTTGACTTTTCCTCAGCCCTTTTTTTTGCTCAAAGCCATGTTTACAAAAACTGTGAAAGCAGGTGACATTCTGCTTTAGGATTCACTGACATGCCAGCTTACATGCCATATTTGTACAAACTTGTTTTTAACAGCAAATCTTCAAATGTCAGAGCATAATTTTTGGTAGAGGGTTAAGCATAATGCTTCCAGTATGACTTTATTTCTGTGCATGATGCCTTAAATATGTGTACAAAAAATAAACGAAAAGAAAAGTCCAGAAATCTTTTATTAAAAAATGCAATGGCATGTGTTTTTTTTCCATCATTGATTTGAAACCGAACATTTTAGAAGTGAAATAATTATTCACCTAAGAATCCCAATACCACAGTGTAAGGAAATAAGTAACAGCTGGAAAATGAGACCTAGTCCTTTCCTACTGACATAATCTGTTTATGCTATAAAATTATATGTTTTTAATTATAAGCCCCATGTGTGGAACCGGTATGCTTTTAGCCTGGCTGCTGGAAGGAGAACATGTCTAAAAAACTGTCCGATATTAATATGGGATCATTGCAAAATGCATCTGGAGCTAAACAAACAGAGCAAAGTTGGGTGTTTGGACGAAGTGTTAAATATCTATCGGGCGATTTATTTATTTTTTTTAAAGAAAAAAAAGGGAATTAATGGAACTTGAAGGTCTTGGGAATAATGCAGAATGGATGCTTTAACGAGGACAACTACCGCCCTCTGCTGGGCGTTTTTAGTTTGTTACACTGCAATGCACCAATTGTACAAAGCAGAACCTTGTGAAATACGTCTTAGTTCCTGACGGGACGTTTAAAAGTGTTGCAACCAGATAAAAGGGTTGTTTTTCATGGTTGTTTAGAAGTATCTTTATTGTTTGCCGAGATTGTAGTTCCCTTACGTGTATGTTTCCATTCCGTAGTTATCAATTAAGTTAAGTCTCGTAGTTGTGTTCGTAGTTCGATAGGGCCGTTAGTAATGGCGCTTAAACATTTCCGGACGGTGACACCAATGTTAAAGGCCTCTTTTCAGAGCAAGACATTTGGACTGTGCCAGAGGACTTCCTTGATGGCAAACTCCTACAGTGTTTCGACAGTGGACGAAAACGCCACAAGTAAGAGCGAAACAATTCAAATGTCATTACGTGTTTGGGACTGTAGGAGGCAGCAGAGGCCGTTCCTAATGGACACTCCAGGAGCTTTTAAACCTTTTTAAGTTTTTAAAAAGGAAGATAAAGTACAGCTGACTGAACCTCGGACGTTATCCATAACACTTCATGAGAAAAAAAGAGAATATGCAGCCTTAAAAACAGTTGCTAAGTCATGTTTTGAACCCTTTTTTAAAACTTTATTTGTCCTGCCACTGATTCACTTAGAGGAGTCATCAGCATCTCAGGCTTTGTGGATTAAATCATTTCAGCTGTGGTTATCCTACATTATCAAAGTACTGCTGAGCCCAAAATGCATAATTACAGGCTCACAGGTGTCATTTACCACATCAATGAAGCCTCAGATCCTTTAACTATTCCAGCGAAAGCTGCACAGACTTATTCCTACCAGGTTCAGGAATCAGGAAGACAAGTTAATTTGTAGTTTTCCTGTTATGGAGCGATACATTCTATGCAGTAAAAAAAGAGAAACACTTTCTGATTAACACTGGACTAAGGTTTGATACTTTTATTAAGTTTACATTAGTAAAAAATAGAACATTTAATTAAGAAAATGTTTTAAATGATTTTTGCAATACTGTTAAAAAATGCCAGTGCGGAATTCATATCCATTTAACTACCGTAAATATTAATAACGATTGTGATGTAATCCTGAAATAAAAACCCTCAAGGGTATGGATGCATGGTTAAGATGTTGTCCCAAACTTTTCTCTAGGCTGTTTTTAAAATTAGACTCGAACCACTAAAAAGATGGCCTTCTCATTGGGTCATTGTTTCCCAACCCCTTCAGTTTTATAACGTTACTGAAATCAAGCTGAACATTGCAGAGGTCGTTAAGATGTGGTTCATTCCTTTGGATCTGCACCAACTCTGTAATTATGTGTTCGAGGTGTAGGGCAGCAGAAAGCACGCCTGAGACTGCCGTTTCTTTTCATCCCTCACTGGCTTTGGTTTAAGCAGTCTGTCTTCCATATTTGACATAGTCTGTGTCACCGAGGCTAATGCGTCCGGTAGTTTTGTTTTCCTGGCTCCTCTTGCTCAGAAGCAGTCGCCTCTGGGCGTGGTTGACGGTCGGATTCCCTGGGATGAACCTAAACAATGTCAGGTCAGCGGCCTGCTGCAGCCTCAGGCCACACTCTGTGGCAAAGGGACACACGCCTAGAGCTGGGTTCACTCAACCACACCTCCGCCTCTCGTCCTGTCTTTTATCAAGTCGGCCACAAATGACAATTCATATTCCACCTCCGTGTCTCACTCTGTGCGGTTAAAGATGACTGTCTCTGGATGTTGTCTAAGCGTTGCGGCCCGTCTCTCTCGTTCTGTTGAAAGCTGCAGGCCAGGCCGTGGTCTCGGAGCGAAGGGGACGCATGGTCATTGTGGCAATAAACCGGCCAGAGGTGCGGAATGCGGTGAACCAGGAGACGGCGGGCCGTCTGCTGGAGGAGTTGCAGGCCTTTGACAGTGACCCAGAATTGAACGTGGCTGTCCTGCATGGGAGAGGTAAAAGAACTGCAAGAGATCAAAAGCCTCTTCATCACTGTCCACCAAAACTGTCTCCTTCAGACTTAAAAGGAGCAGTTATGGACCAAACAATTGTCTGAATCATGCAACTAACATGACATAATGTGGGGTGTGAACACTCATGTCAATGCAGTAGGTGTGCAGCCGCTGTATGGCACGCTGTTCAAGTCGGAAAGAGGGGAAAAATTAACCTAAGCCTGTGGAATCCTCCTGTTAGTATGTTAAAGTGTCACAAACCAAAGTGTCTGCTTATGGTTTGATAAGTATGGAAAGCCATACTTGGCAACTCTGTCATTTTATATGTTGTGCTTTAATGGAAAACATTGAGGCGTTCTGTACAGTTATCAGACATCCCAACGTATACTTTTTCATCAGTACCTTTGGCTGTTTTTCTTCTCTGTTCTTTCCCCGCTAACCTCATCCTCTGCCCTTCCCTCTAACAGGTCCCTCCTCCACCCTTCCGTCCTCACTGTCCATAGATCTCCTGGAAAACCCCGAGAAACAGACAAGTGCATGTGCAGTGAAAACACACCTGCGGGGCGGCCTGCACTGTGTCAGCCACCCAAAACCAGAAACATGTCACAGCCCCCTAATGCTTTTAAAAATAATCGGAACTCGCACTGAATGGCCTCTTTTCCACACAGTGGAAATACTGTCATCAGCTCAAAGCAGCCTGTCTGCCGTGTGAGGCACGCTGCGGCCTCAAAGTATAGACTCCCGTGCTTTAGGGGTTGGAGCCTTCTCCACATAATGGCTCTGGATGCCTCTCACTTCAGCTGCGGACCGGGAACAGAGCATCGGAGGGTAACTTGCTTGCTTTAAACGGGCTAGCAATTAGAAGCACAGTGGGTAGTTTGACAAAAAGTGGCCCCTCCTCGGTTCCCACAGTTTCAGTAAAGTCATTCGAACCGTCGCTGCCCACATTCCTGTCAGCAGGTTGTCCGCCGTTGCGGCTAAAGATGCCTGACCCTCTGCAGTCATTACTGGTGCGTCACCGCTGTGAGATGACAAGCAGAGAGGTTCTGGTGTGGACGTAATGTTTCTGCCAGCATACGGAATCCATTTAGTTCAAATTAGCACCAACACCATCTCTCTCAGCTCTCATATTTCCGCGTCAATTTTTTTCTTCTTCTCATTTTAGGGAGTCAGCGTGTACGTGTGTGTGTGTAGGGGGATGAAATTAGAAATAATTGCTTTCAGCAGTTTTTGAATTTGCTCTGGAGTCTTTCAATTTTGATTTTTGAGGGTGTTTTTTGGTCAGGTGCAATACTAACTGTAGATGGTTGCAGTTAAAATGTATCTATTTTCAATACATCATTTTTTTGGGGGTAGGGGCAGCCATGTTTTCCACTGAGACACAAATGAAACCTTTGAATTCATAGTCAGCTTCAGACAGTTAGTCCTATTGGCAGTATGTCTGAACAGTTTCAGTTGACACCCGGTATGATTTATTTATTAGATTTTTTTTTGTTATCTTGGCAAATTTGAAATCCAGAAGGCCTGAGACCTGCGCGCCGGCCTCCCTCATCCCATGCGGCTGTGAATTTGGGTTTGTGACTTTTCCGTTCTCACATTAGAAGCGAACACAAGATGTCCAGCTTCTGCTCATTTCCTCTCACGGAGATGAAAGCGTTCAGAGCCCCCCCCCCCCCCCTCCCTCCCATAAACAGAACGACACGCAGTTTTTTTTCTGTAATCGCCCTGCGTTGACCCCCGCAGCCGAAATCAAAGCCCCCTGCTGATGGGTGTTGCTGGCACATCTGATCATGACCATCCTCCTCCTGACTGCTACACTGGGGAGAGTCGGCTTTTATAGGCCGACTGAGACGGTGACATAGTGCTTGTTTGCCTCGTGGGCAATGTTGTAATTACCACATGAGTCTAACGGAAGAGGCTGCGGTCGCACATTGTTGCCCCCCCCCCCCACATTAATGAGTGGACGATGCATGTGAGCGCATGCATAATCTGCGCCTATGCATAGGATTTAGGTTCTTTAGGGAGGAGAAGCATTTGTGTGCCAGCCAGCCCAAAAGAAAGAAAGCTGTCCAAATAGCAACCCCCCCCCACCCCCTCCTTTTTTTCTTCATCTTCATCATTTTCCCTTCCTCTCTGACTTTCCAGCTGCAATACTTTGTAATTTTGTGGTCTCTTCCAGGAGGGAATTTCTGCGCTGGTTATGATCTGAAGACGTTGGCCAATCAAAAAGCCCCCCTTAAATTGGAGCAAGATGTTACCAAGGGTCCTGGTCCAATGGTGAGCAGGGCCTGGGTCATGAGCGTGTGTTTGTGCGCGCTTGTGAGGTTTCTACCTACGTTTCCCTGCGGTGTTACGGAGCGCTAGAGGTTTCCATTAAATAAGAAAAGCAGGGAAATACTGACAGTAATAATTGCGTTTGTTTTTGAAGGTTTGAGCAGCGACACTCAAGTCATAGGTATTCCCCGGGAAGACTTGTGTGTTGTATACGAGCAGAGCTCTGGCTTCTGCTACTCTCCCATTACTGGACAAAGAGTCAGAATCATAACACAAATGATTTACTGAAAGTTCTAAAAGCTGCAGTCTCCATAAATCCATCTGTTTAGATTGCATGCTAAGCCTTTGGAATAGAGCGGACCTCCTGTGCAGAAAATGATAGCTTTTTACCTTATACAGTACACACAGTGCTTCGTTTGTACAGCTCTGGCCAAAACCCCCATCGTTTGTTACCTTTTTGTTTGACAGTACGGGGGGGGAAAAAATGAATTAGAATTTAAATCTGGAACATTTTAGCGGATAAAGTTGTGGAAAAAAGCACAAAAGAGGTAGTGAACCAGGGACAATATGACCTCGCTTGGCTCTGAGACTGTTTGTGCCCCGTTTTCAGAGTGTGTTTCCTGGCTTGCGTTGCGGTGCTGCATTTGGATGTACTGATCCAGCTGTTTCCTACAGGGTCCGTCCCGTTTGCAGTTGTCCAAGCCTCTGATAGCGGCGGTGAGCGGCTTCGCTGTGGCCGGCGGCCTGGAGCTGGCCCTGCTGGCAGACCTGCGAGTGGTGGAGGAGAGCGCCGTCATGGGGGTGTTCTGTCGCCGGTTCGGTACGTACCGCTCCCCACCAGGTGTGCTGCTCTCACTGTTTGGCCACCTGACTCGTGCAGTTCCACTTCTCTGAGAACCAGCGGAGCGTTGCGTTTAAGACGTATTCAGCAAACTGTAAATGGAGCTTAAAGAAACCTGAAACCAAACCTTTCAAATATTAGAATATCCTCTACAATATTTTTTTATTATCGTGGTGCTACCAGAACAATGCGGACTGAGTGTTTTTATCCCACTCTCTGAGGCTTGCAGGCCAGAATGACATGGGTTACAGAAGAGGAAGTTTTCCTTCTGACAGGTTGCTTGTTCCTGGTTGTATGGCAGGAACTTGGCTTCTGTTTTCACAGGAAACTGGTGAATATGCAGAGGTACATGGCATACCCAGTGGTTATTAAAATAGTGAAATTGAATCAGAAATGAGTGTTTTTACTTAATCTTTGGCATAATATAAAACTATATAACACTGTGCATCACATAGTTAATCAAAAAAATATATTTTTGTGAATTTAGCGTGTTACATACTTGTACGTCTTTACTGGCCTCCATTTCTGCTACATGAAACACTTGCTTGGAAGCTAAGTCGTGACACTAATTACACTTTTTCCTTTTTAATCCTGTAAAGTAGAGATTAAAGAAACAACCGTTCCCACTGCTGATGGTAATGTGGGCCGCATACTTCACCTCAGAGCTGTGGATGGGGCAGGTTTATTTTTGCCATGTGTGTGTGAGTGTGTGTTTAGCCCCGCTAATTATATCTGGCGTGCCATAATCTTTTGTTTTCTTTGCATCCATGCACACAGCATCTCTTTCTCCGTACAAGAATATCATCGCCTGTTTCTATTTTTCAAGCTTTGTTACTATGTTCTCTGTTATCACCCGAGCTTCCTCTTGTTTGTGTGTGAGGATGGAGCCGCGGCGCGATAACGTTGGTGACCGTGACCTTTTGGCATCGCGGCCACAGTCTGCTGGGCAGGCTCGATAAGTGGAAGAGGAAGCAACCAACTGCCAGGTTTCCACTGCAGGGACCAAAAAGCCTCCGCGTTTTATTTGTGTCGCGCCGTTTCCGCGAGCGCTTTCTTTTTTCGGCTCTCCGGTTTGCCAGCTGACAGCGGCTTTACTTCTGAGCAGTCGCGGCAAGACCTCGAAACGGTTGTCTGTAAAAGAAACGGGCAGCGAACCGGGTTCCAGAAGGCCGGGGTCCTGTTCACCGCGGCTGGTGTTGGGAGGGTACCAGCATCTCCCGTACAGCCGTTAACCACGCACGGGCTTAAAATGCTATCAGTGTTTTTAAAATAAGGCTGTCGGACTGTAATTTGCTGGAGCTACTAGCTGTAGAGTGTAAACAGGCAAAGCTCATCGTCTCGGGCCTGTAATTTGTAATCGGTAGCTCCTCACATTCTGACTGTGCTGTGCTGCTTCTCATCTTTCTGCAGCGTCCTGGACTTTTTGGGCCTTTTTGAATGAACCTGTACTTGTAATCAAATGTATACTGAAGTCTGTTCAGTAGCGTTGAATCATCAGGGGTCGATCATGTCATCAAGTTTTTAAATTCAGAAATCAAGGATATCCTTCTGATTGATACATGTATCTATTTTGTTACATTAGTCAGCTGAAAATTTAACAGATTTTTCTCAGCTGGTGTTGTTTGTTGCCATTTCTTTATCTAACCAGCTGCTGCCCTTAAAGTTTGTGCTTGATTCCCCGTCTGAAATGAAAAGAATTAGAGAGCTACATTTGCAGATTAAGACGCAAGTTGTGTCAGCGCCTTGTTTTCCGCAGCTCTTATTTGAACCCTGACGGAGCTTCTGGAGCAAATCTCTATCTCTGGCTCTCCAGCTAATCCATCGCCTGCTCTTGAACTGCCTTCCATCAGCTCCAAAATATGTTTGGGAGTCAGTGAGACACGCCGCTGCGGCTTTTACACATTACGTTCCTCATTTCCTCCCAGTCGTTAATTGTCATTGCCTCACATTTTCAGCGCTTGTTTGTCAACACATTTCAGCCGTTTTTCCTCCAGCGTGAATGAAAGCTCCTGCGGTTTGACACCCCGCCGTACATTTAGCAGGGATTATTGCTTCGACTGTGGCATCTTTTATTGGCATTTTCGGCATAGCTTGCTGCTGCGCCGCCGCCATCTTCAGCCTTTTTCCAGCACGCACCAGGCGGGGTTTCTAGAAAAGTGGAAGTAAGAGCGCTCAGGTTGCATTTGGTGGTGTATTTCGAAGATGCGGTTCAGATGGGTTTGAGCGCAATTAGTTTTACCCAAATCCGAACAATTGAAAAGCAAACTTCCCCCCGCCTTTTTTTGAAAACATCAAAAGCACTGCTGCTCTGTGAGACGCGCGGTTTATTTAAAGACCCGGTGTCTCTCAGCCATCATTTCCTTTTTAATGGTTGAATTCTGTAACCGATTTCTGGGCCAGGCGCAGATGGCAGCAGCCTGAGGGATTCCCTGGTGGCTTTTGGAGCTGAAGAACCCTCAGAGGCTCGCAGCGCTGCTCTGATGTGGGCCAATGGCTACCGCAAGGATCCGACAGTTTTCTGGCACGTGATTGGCTACCGAAACCTGTGGCTTCCTGTCTGGGGCCCCTCTGCCCTGCCAAGGAGGAAATGAGAGGGAGGAGATGGTTGCGTCACAGGAATCTGGTATTAGTGTCTGCTGCTCTTTGAGTTTTCAGAGACCTGAATGAAAAAACACGGTGCTTACTTAATTCCCCCAACTTTATTTTGGCTCTTTAAAACCTAAGAAAAGAAACAAAGCAAGAAAAGAAAAAAAAGAACTGCTGGCACAGGAAAGGGAAACTCAAAATACTAATATTTCATTGAAGAAGCTAAATCAGGCAGGCTTGTTCAGAACTGATTTACTGTGAGGCCTCTGATTTTACCCTTTTAAAACGGAGTCTCTTCAAACCCACCCACCCACACACACACACACACACACGCACACACCAGCCTGCAGTGTCAGTTTCTCCTCCCTTTCCCCTCTTGTCAGTTCTAAGTCCCGTCTCTGTGGCTGAATAAGCATGATGAAGAGTAAAATAGAGGACAAATCTCGAAGTCAAGCCGCAGCCCAAAAGCTGACATGAAATCAGCCAATCCAAACACCTGCTCAGTGAGTTTGAAAGTGAGCAACATAGTCCAATGGTTGCGTCATCTTACTTCAAACCAGGTTTTTCTTTTCAAACTGACGGATTTTCTTCCATTATGAATGAACAGGGCCGCCGTCCTGCTGAGATGGAAAAACAAGCAGCACTGTGAGTGGATAAGTTCATGTGGGCATCTCCTCATAGTTACACATCGCATTTTAATAAAACAAAGAAGAGGGCTTTTTGTCTTCACTCTAGAGTAATGATTGAAATATTTTTTTTTTTGTCCTGAGGTCTCATCTTATTAACGCTTTCATAAAATCTTCTTTTGAGGAGCGACTGCATCCTACTTTCAACATTCAAGGTCTTGTTTTCAGCCTTGGTGGTCTTTTTTAAATATATAATTGGGCTCTGTAAGCTAAAGAATAAGTCGGTATTATATCTGTGGGTTAAAGACATAAAATCCAGTTAATTGCGTTGCACTCGTCCCCGACCCCGATCAGACTGAGCATTTCAAACCAGGCCTCCAGTTGAAGGTCTGCCCTTTTCGCCTCTGTCCATTTACTCTGGAGTTATCCGGAAACTGTTAATCCACATCAAACTTAATCGCATTACCCTCATGGGAGGCCATTGTAGTGGGTTTCGCTTTGATGTGGTGAGGATGCCAGCAGCACCAGGAGCAAACCAAAATGCCCGAGTGTGTCACGTCCCAGCGTTCTCGGGCCCTGAGTCTCCGTGGACGGGCACATGCGGTCACACCTCCTCTCAGGGGACCGAGCGCTAACATACCGCTAACTCTTCTGCCCACATACAGAGCGGACGTTTGTAGCGATGAAATCTGGGAATAAACAATTTAAAGCATAATAAGATACAGCCAAGGGTGAAGAAAAAGCCTTTTTCATCTTGAACAGTAAAAACAAGTCAACGGGGCATGGCATACGGACAAACCAGGTGTGTCCAGTAATTCACCACCTTTTGAGCAGTATCGATAATACGTTTTTCTTTATTTTCAGTCTTTTCAGAATTTGTGTTTTACCCTTCTGGGCTCTTTAGCTTCAGTCCACTGTGGTTTGTCGGCATTCATTTATGTACAGTTCCCCTAAGTACTGACTTCGTAATTAGAATCAGGGCTCTGAGTCATCTTTTCTATTTCTGCCACTCTGTTGTAGACTTGACGATGGTGGACAGATGATCTCATACTTTACCCACCATACTTGGGCGTACACATCCAGCTCACTGACAGCAAGGTGTCCAAAAGCCGTCCCCACCCCACCACCGTGTTTGACAGTCAGCATGATGTGTTTGTGCCGACTTGCTCTGTTTGGGTTTCAAACCAAACCAAACTTCTCCCCTTTGGTCTCATGTGTCCAAAAGACATTGTTCCAGACGTCTTGTGGTCTACTCAGATGTGACTTTGCAAACCAATGTTGCCCTGCAATGTTCTTTATAGTTTTCTCTGAGCATCAATTCAGTTCAGTTGACTTTTCCTTAGACAGAACAAGCTGGTTTTGAATATTTCCTCTTGTAAAAAAACATTTCTCAGTAGAACTTTGGTACATTTGGAAGCTGATGACCCTTCCCAGATCAACGGGCAACAACAGTTGCTTTACTTAAAACACACCCTCAGAATTTAAGACTTTTCCATTCACTTTATTTTAGTCATTTTTAATTATTCTGCTGTTTAGGGAGCAGCTGCTGATGTTGTGATATTCTTCTCAAATTTGTGAATGCCTTAAAATGGTCCTGGGCACCATATTCGCAAAGACGTCAAAGTTCTGATTTGAGAAATGCTTTGTGATTGGCCGACGAGGACTCCTGATTTAGCTGCTGTGTCAGGCTTAAACATATCGGAATACGCAGTCAGAAGAAATCCCTCCAGCATTTTGCCACTTCTGTCAGATAAGTGAAGATGACCCTGTGTTGCAGGAAAATAAACCACCTATTCTGTCTGGTTATATAACGATAGGCTTTGCTGACTGGAGTCGATCTGTTAATAACAAGCCCGTGTTTTGACAATTTACTTATCTGCTTTTCAACAATGAGGCGGCACGTGGCTGTCCGACAGCTCAGCTCACTGTTGAGGCCGAGATGAGAAATCCGTGTTTTAACTTAAAGAAAACGACTCTTCCTTCAGGATCACTGACAAATATTTCCCTTCTTCCTGTCTTTGAAGAAGAAGGGGGGAAAAAAACGTGTCCGCCAAGCTCTTTTCAAGCAAATACACCTTTTGGGTTTGAAGCAACTTCAAAGCCTCTCTCGAATATCTCCATTGTTGTTCAGGGGGGGACAAAGCACAAGTTAGTCAAAGAGCACACTTCAGAGACGGGGCTATCTGGGAGAGAGGGGGGGTGAGGGGAGGAGACGCTTCAGACGGATGCTGTGGATAAGAAGGGAGATCCTTCCGGTTGCTGATAGCTGTGGTGCCAACAGCAGCACCAAAGACAGACAGACTGGAGGTCAGCTTGCCTCTTTATCTCTCTTTCTTTGAGCCAGGCTTTGTCTTCCCCTGCCTCACACTGGCTCTGCATGCGCCTCACTCTTATTCTTTTTTTTTTTTAACGTCTGTTTTGTGTCTCTGCCGCTCAGCACCACCCCGACCCCCCACCATCAGCCTTTTTACTGTAATTAACTGACATGGAGACTCTCCTTGTTGTTCTAATTAAGTTTACGTGAAGTTACTGTTGCGCTGTCATGGTCTTGCTGCTTTTGCTTATAAAAGAAAACGTATGCAAAGCCTCAAGATTATTATTTATGTTTGACACAAACGCTAAATGGACTTGTGTTTTACGGCCCTTTTCGAGTGGAACTGACCCCTCAAACCTCCTCTAGGCCACACACCAGCAGCTGGGCAGGTGGGCAACTTGTTCACAGCCTTGCACAATAACTTTTCGACATGTGGCCCAGAGGAAGGTGGAGTTGAACCTCTGAATTTCCGATCAGAAGGCAGCTGGTGATTCCTCCTGAGCAGCAGCCCTTAACAGCCATGATAGACGTAAATAGAGCAAAGTTCAGGAAAAAGCTGTAAGCCCGACAGCGACAAGCCATTAAAGGGGTTACATTTTTAAATATTCATGGATAGATGGAATGACTTTTATTTTCCAAAGTTATAAATCGATAGTTCATAAACACCTAAAACTAAAAGATGTTAAATTTGAAGTACTGAAAAACTCCTTACGGTCACACACTTGTGTATAAAAGGATCCGTAGTATTTTTTAAATCTATTTTTCTTTCAACAAAGGGAACACAGATGTTATTTTTATTACATCTCCCCAGCTCAGAGTCTTCAGCTGCGATGTTTGTAAAAAACGGTCCTGCAATGGAGGATGAATGAAAAAATTGAGTGGACTCGAGCGTTGCAGATGGTGTAGAAAGCCTTTCGTGTCTAATTGCAGTCTTCTGCTTGTCTGGATGGGTCACACGTGCAATTACGCTAATAGTCCATGTTTGCCATTTGAATCTGTTTAAACACGGAGGACTTGGGATTGTGGTGTGGAGCAGAGCAGTGAGGAGTGTGCAGTTGTAGCTGGTGCTTTTTTTAGAAATTAGGATAAATACCTAAAGCTTGCAGTACCTCTCAGTTCCCATCTGCCTCTCACTCTCCCTTCTGGTTGACAGAGTAATAAAGCACAATACAAATGTGTCCAGCGAGACCGAGTCAGAGGGAGTTGGAGTTTTCAGATCCTCATGTAAAGGAAGAAGAGAGACAATAGAGGAGTAAAATATTGCGAGAGCTGCGCTCCCCAGGCAGAAGTAAGCCGTGGTTTTGCCAGTATTGTTGTTTGAAAAGCCTGAAGTACTCCTTGAGCACAGTGGCCATTTTAAACTTTTATTTTTTAACCTTACCTAATGTTTTTAATTACTCTTCTTCCTGGTTCATATCAACCTGTCCATTTCCCATCGCTATTATCATTTTCCTCACCAATGTGTAACACACACACGTATATACATATTTACCCTTTTACATGGGCTTTTAGGTTCTTCTTTATAGAATATAGCCAAAGTAAACCGTGCTTTCAATGTAAAACTTTCCTGTTTACTCTTACAATTAATGATTGTTTTTATGTAAAACATAAAAAGCCGCTAGTTAAGACTCCGGCCTGTGATTGTTTTCTATGGGAAAATTTAAAATGCATTAACTCAATGCCTTTTTCTTTCAGGACTATTTTGATACATCCATTCTGCTTGAAAATGTTTGAGCATCCACAGCTGAAAGAGATGTATTTTAAAATGGTATTTATTTATTTATTTATATTTTAGGAGTCCCCCTGATAGATGGAGGCACAGTGCGTCTCCCACGTCTCATTGGTCTATCAAGAGCCCTCGACTTAATTCTGACTGGACGACCGATCGGAGCACAGGAGGCTCTTGCCTATGGACTGGCCAATAGAGTTGTTCCCGATGGCCAAGGTATTTCATTTTGTCAGTATGCGCTCTATGTCAGGTTCGATTAGATAAGAGGAAACATCTTAAACGAGCAGAAAAAGCTCCTCACCGAAAAGCAAAATCCCAAATATGATGAAATCATTATGTGAGGACTGTGGAAACTCCGGAGCCAAACTCTCCTGCTCCGCAAGAAGCTGCAAAAGTGGGAAAACAAGTGACATCGAGAGAGTTGAAGAATCTGTGGAACGTGATCTCCATAAATCACGGTCCAGTTCACAGAGCTGACTTTGTAGTATTGTTTTCACAGCAGTCGCAGAACAATTTGTTACTCACTGTAAATAGCAGTCATGTAGACACCGAGGCCTGGGATCCATTTTCATTCAGGAAAGTGTTTTTTTTCTTCTTCTTTTTCTTTATGAAACTCTAGCAAGAAACTGAGTCATAAATAATCTAAATTAGTTCCAGTGAATCTGTTTTCTTTATTTGGCTTCAACACCGGGCTGAATCCATAACTGGCCATCAGCACCGTCTGCTTCTGTCTCACTCAAGAAACAGTCTGGGGGTTCAGTTCCACGCAAATCTCAACACGCCTTTTCCTCTGTGGCGGCAAAAGAACCCAAACAATTAACGGCAGCGTGTGTTCCTCACAGCTCGGCCTCCTCTGATTCTCTCTCTCCTCCCTCATTGGACCCCAGAAGATGATTAGCTTAATTGTTTTAGGAAGCTCTTCCCACAGACGTTCCGAGGCCTAATTGCCAAACGGAAGGATGATTACTTTACGCAAGTTAAACATCAGAGGGAATGGAAGAAGTAGCAGCTTATATATATATACACAAAGCAGGCATCAAAGTGCGCCAACAGTGGAGGGGATGGTGTTTTCCATAAAAGCTCTTTTTAATGTGGTTCCGGAGGCGGACTGGTGGAACTCCGAAACCCAACAGCAGAATGGACAATTTCCTAAATATAGAAAAAAGCGGACGAATGTACAGGAGTTCCCCGTGTATTTTATGCCTCGTGATCAGATGTGTGTGTGCTCATTGCTGTGTTTGTGCCGTGACCCCAGCGCTACAGGCAGCTGTGGAGCTCGCCGAACAGATCGGCAGCTTCCCTCAGCAGTGTCTGCGGGCGGACCGCTCCTCAGCCGTGTACAGCTGCTATGACGCGCCGTCTTTCACGCAGGTACGCTCATTTAACGAAGGCAATTTACAGACGACAGAGAGAACAGAGAGGGAGAGAGGCAGACGTATAAGACATGCCTATCCATAGGGTATGGGTACATACAGAATTGTAGTCAAATCAAAACGACAATCCAGACCAATTTTATGTAAAAGTATCTATTTTCATGTGTCATTGGGAAGTCAGACGCTCCATCGTGTAGATATGTTTCAGTTTCATTAAAAACTGCAAATCGCTGTGACCACAAGCACAAGTGTCAAATTTTGATGTTTTCAAAAGCACATCAGAGCACCAGAAGAGGGAGGAAAAAAGTGCGTATGTGCAATGATCAGTGTGTTTATGTTTTAATTCACATTTTAAGCCAAAGAGGGACACATTTTCTTTCAGCAGAATTTGTCTAACTCCCCAAACATAAGTCTCTGAAAGGCATCACAAAGGCTGACAAAAGAGGCAGTGTAGTTTTTTTTTTCCCAGCCTGTCTTTTCTTTTAATATTTTTGTACAGATCTCTAGTTTATACATGATTTGGAAGGACAGTAAGTAGACTGTTCGCATGATGTCTTGTTTTCTATCCAGGCCATGCAGTATGAATTTGAGCATGGCGTTCCGATCATCCAATCAGAAGCTATTGCCGGGGCGACCAAGTTCACTTCAGGAGAAGGAAGAGGAGGAAAGTTCTCCTAGGATTTCACATCTTGGTGTATTCCTAGGTCATAGGTCGCTCGCGTGGTAAATAGACTAAATTGTTTAAAAATATAAAATGATATCTACAACCGTCTGCAAAAGTCCTTGGCCACCCCTTCTCTTTTTTTCCCGACAGATCTCTGAAGGCCTTCATTTTGCTGGACGCTTGGCTGCTTTTTCGCACCATTTCCAGAACAAGCTTAGATTGTGTCCATAGAGATTTTATGAACAGCCAATCACAACAGCACATCATTTTCCCCCCCATTTCTTTAGTGGCCCCCGCAAACAGGAACTATACCTTCGGTTTTCACCGAAGCCTCATCATTGGTTAATCATTACAAATATCTGACTGGAATTAAGGAATTAACATGGCAACAAAAGGCCAAAGTGTGCCAAATGAAACAATAACTGAACAGAAAATCAGTGGCCAGAGCCCCAAACATTGACGTTATGCCAGCAGTTTGCGATCATCTAACAGAACAGAACAAAAGACAGCCAGAATGTCCTCAAAAACCTGGAGAGAAAAAAACACTTGTCCCATGTCCTGTTTTCCTTGCAATAAACAAAAAATTCTACCATTCTGAAATCAAAAGAAAACTGGGAAAAATGCTTTTCCCATAATGAATCCCGTCTTTGTTAAAATTTCTCAGATTTGTGTGCGAAAAGGCCTTGAGAATAAACCTGCTGCTCGGATTCCCTTTATTAAAGGTGGGATAGGCTGCGCTTTCTTCATCGATGAGTAATATTTAAGAGTGACTGGGGACCCTGTGTGTGTTTCTGTGGAGTGCAGAGCTAATCCGGCACAGAAGACCTCAAAGGCGTCACAAGCTGCAAACCTGCTGGAGCTCGTCATTGTTCTTTGACTCAGTTTAAAAAAAAAACCTGCGATAACTGTCTCCCGCCGTACGCGTGCAGGGCATGCAAACAATCCAAAACAAAGTGGCGTATTTACAGAACACGTCAGGGTTGTGGTAGATTATTCTTTCAGTTTGTAGGCATTCCTCTGACCTCGGTGCGGACTTCCTCTCGGTTCAAACACACGTGCGATTCTCTTTATGCGCAAGCGTGCGTGAACTGTGAACATTTGAGGGGTCTTGAAAATGTCTCCTACGGGGAAAAGCAAAAAAAAGTGTAGAGGGGTGTGTGTGTGCGTGCGTGTGCGTCTGAGAGTAAAGCAGATACAGACGACAAAGACCTCGTTAGCTTTAGGAGGTGTCCTGTCTAGACGGTGTGATGACAGGACACAGAGCTCCTGTTTAATGTTTCCTCATCCCTCTGCTTCCAATTCACCATACACACACACACACACATATCACCTGCTCGGCCTCGGGGGAATCCGCTCACACAGACTATCAAAAGCGCACAACCGATCAACGTCAAATGAGAATAGCAATTTTCAAGTGCTTTTTAAGTCGGCGTTGGCCAGTGCGGCCTGTTTATCTGGATTGTTGTGACAGATTTCAAGAGCGGTGAGAAGCAGCTGCGAGTATTTTTTTTTGTGTGTTTGTTTTGATTGCAAAAACAGCAGTTTATTAAATATGACGCACGTCCAAGATGAATGGCCCGCGAACGTGTTTATCCCGGAAATGGCGCAGCCTGTTACCATGTTACCGCTCACACGGTGTGAGGTGTCTGAAATGACTCGTTTCCTTCCACGGTTTTATCCAGAAAAAGGTAACTCTCCCCCTTTTTTCTGCGTTCAGCAAAACAGGCATCCTGTAATCTGAGCCCGTACCGTAAATCCCTGCCATAAATCAGGCCTGAGCTCCATTTCAAATAAATGGAAACGCCGTTTTTTTCCAAGGGGCTGGGAAGACTGATGGACGGCCTTCCGAGAGAGCGCAGGTTCTCCGTCGGCCCCAGAATAGCATCCTCAGAGCTGGTTTAGTCATATCACAGTCCGCCACTTTTCCCAGACGCTCTTGGTCACCCACTTGTTTCTGTCTCAAACAGAAATACACATCTGCTTATTGGGCTGGAGGACCACTAGGATATCTGTGAACGTCTGGCCCGGGAATCCGTATGGGAGTTATGTTTGGTGCAGCGTCTGGGTTGTGTGCGCGCCGGTGGTGGGTTGTGTGCGCGTCGGTGGTGGTATGCGGGGCTTTGATGCTGCTTCTCACTCTTCACGTGCAGATAAGATTGACTCAGGCAGTAGCAGAGACGCGGGGCGATACGGACACCTTGGGGCCTTATCATCGGGACCATCACAGCCTGAAGGCTCCGTGAAGACACAACACAGGGTAGGTGGTTCAGGAATGACGCGGAAATAAGGATGTGAAAGGAATTCCTTTTTATCTACATGTAAAGGATTCCCGAGCACATTTGGACACGGCTTGCTTAGGCCGAGATCTAGTTTTTTTAAATCTATGAGTCGATGGTTGAAAGCACCTTGAGAATGAACAGTTCAGCCCTGAACATTGGAGCAGACAGGCAGAAAACACCAAGATAAGAAATCTTAAGTTAGTTTTATGCACTGGAAAACAATGATTTGTTTAATCAGTCCAACATGACGACCCTGTTATGAGTTTACAGGGTTATGAAAGACTGAGGCAAAATGTCCTGGTTTAGTTTGTTTTCTGGTGAAAGAGCAAACTGGAAAAATGATAGTTTCATGTGTGCCGAGAGTCTCAGTGCTCTACGTTTTTTCATAAAGTCACGAACCTGAGCACAAGCCCTGCTCACAGCGTAAAACGTGGGATGATTGTGATCGATATCCATCCAAGGTATGTGCACAGAAAACCTTTTAGGAAGCGTCAGGGTGTGAGTATCTACTGAGCTCGATCAGTAAAAGTCCTCAAACAGACCTTAAAGGAGTAGACTTCAGCAGAATGAAGTCGGGGGGTGTTCATTTTGGAGGATCTGATGAACAAACAAAAGCTGATGGATGCTCAGAGGGCGGGAAAAGAAGGAAACTTCCCAAAATATGTTAAACGTGACCATTATTGTTTATGTTGATCAGTGGAGTTACTGATGTAGGAGCCCTACATTTTGCACACGTCCCGTAGATGCTTTACAGGAGCAATTAAAGTGTAAAAATCAGAGCGTACGGTGAGTAACTGCAACTAACCTTTCACACATAATCAATTCAGCATTATTTCACACTTGTTTTATGCCCGGTTCTATGCTCCTTTCGCTGGGACTGGTGCGGAGGCGTGTCAGTGTCACTCGGAGGGGGTCAAAACTCATCCAGGATGCCTGTCAGTACAGGGTGTAAACAAGGCCTTTGTCACTATCAGATAAGATCACAGATAAGTAAATAAGCTGACATGCAGTGGAATGATTGATTAAAAACAGGCAAACAAGCACGCCGGATTATCAAGAGGCCAAAACAAACAGTTTAACGGTAAAACTAACAGTCTGCAGTCATGTGATGATGAGCGCAAGAATTGATTAAACACGGCGCACGTGGTGGTGCAATCCATCATTTATGATTCATGTGCTTTTTATATTCACGGGAGGCTGGTTAAATCAGACATTTTGCACATTCTTAATACGGCCTGAATAATCTGCGATCGTTTATTCAGTTAGAAACGACGGTAGGTCGAGGCCCAGTCTGACACTTCTTTTGCTTGCTGTTTCCCAGCTCATCGTCAGGGGTCGTGCGTCCACTGGACATAGCGGCTCCAAAAGTGGAGGCGCCCCCCCCCCCCCCCAGGCGAAAACAAGTGACGCGCAGCTTTAGTCTGGCCCGTAGAAATGTGGCACCGCACCGGAGAACCGCCGCGCGTCGGGGGTTGTTGAGGTTTGGGACTTTTGGGAAGTAACGACTGTGCCGATAAGTTGAGGAAGAGGCACGTTTGGCATACAGAGAAATAGAGAGAGAAAAAAAAGTCCCAAAGAAACGGGTGCGTCACAGGTTTAACTCGCCGGGTGTTTTAAACAGACGGGCCAGCGAACAAAATGTGGAAATCTGGTGTCGGACTTGTGCTTTCAGAGCTCCACCTCTGGCGCAGCGCACACAGAGTGGGCGGTTTCCGAACACACGCACGCAGGCGCACACGCGCATATTACGGACTGCAACCTGCTGAATTCCCTTAGACTCGCACACAGCCGGCAGGAGTTTGGAGTTCACAGCTGGGGCCGCGGAAACATCAGAAAAGCGGCGTTTGCCAGTATTAAGTCGTGTACCCGCGGTCGTAAATAAACCCGTTTTGGGTGGAATGGCTTCTGTCAGAGGGGTTGTGCTTTTGCCTGAGAGTGTCACATCGAGCGGCGTCTGCTAAACCGAACCGCCGGAGCCCCCTCAGAATAAAGTTTCACATGGTGCGCTTCATCCCGACGCAGCAAAGCGCGCTGCAGGAATCAGAGATGAAAACAGGAGCGAGCCTTTTATTCGCGCGTACCTTCAGGGAGTATTTCAAATGGCTTGACACACAACTCCGTGTCCACTTCTGATCGTTGCCCCGCGACAGACAAGCAGCAGCGAACTCGGACGGAACTTCGTGTCGCGCCGCGCGCATTTTTTTTTGCTTTCGGACAGGCGGCCGAGGCGCACAGCCACGCACACTCGGGACTCCGGAGAGAGCCACAGCGGTGACATACACCATGAGCGGCTGCCTGCTGGCCCTGCTCGGATTGTGGTGGAGCGCGTATCACTGCACGTCGACGGCCGCGGGGAGTCACCACCCGCTGGACGCGAGCAGCGAGGCGCACCCGAGCTTCGTCCACAGGCGGCTGCGGACGCACGAGAGGAGAGAGATGCAGAAGGAGATCCTGTCCATCCTGGGGCTGCCGCACAGGCCGCGGCCGCATCCGTCCCACGGGAAGTTCAACTCGGCGCCGCTTTTCATGCTGGACCTGTACAACACCATCTCCAGCGACGAGAAGAGCCACGTGGAGGGCGTGCTGGACAGGTACCAGTCCACGCGCACGACCGTCAGCCCCCCGCTGCCGTCCTATCAAGAAACCGCGTTCCTGAACGACGCCGATATGGTGATGAGTTTCGTTAATTTAGGTGAGTTCATTTTTATTCAGCGCGGCCGCGAAATTGTGATTATTCTGCCAAGATGGAAAGAGACGATAGCGCGCGGTTACACGATTACGCGTGTCTAAAAACTTTTGTTCAACTTTTGTTTTTGTCATTTAAAAGCTCCAAACTCAAATTGTTGTTCTTCCCTGAACAAACGTTCCTGTTTTTTCCCCCATCTGTAAACCCATTTCCCAAAATACCCCTTAATCAGCGGTGGCAAGCGCTGCGCAAAGCGGGCGCACCATTGCGCGCGTTTAGGGTTTTTTAAAAATGAACTCTCCCGTTGCGCGAACCACACAGGGGCCAAATAACCCACTCATTTCCTTCGCGGTTTAAGAGTGAGGTTTGTATTGTTCCACAGTAATTCATTGTTACGCGTCCTCTCGCTCTCCGGATAGGTTCGCCCAGCTCCATTCACTCCAATTCTGCGGCCGGGCTCGCTGTGCAATCTGCTCCGTGATTTATGTTTTCGCGGGAGATTAGACCCAGTATCCTCAGCAAACCATCAACCGCCACCGCCGGTATGTGTATATGAAGGCTTATTCCTGCCCTTGACCCCCAGTTCAGCGAGCTGCGGGTTCTGTGCGTAAATTGCTTGGCATTGTTTGTGTTTCCCCCAAGCAGATTAGTCTTTAATTAGCTCCAGCGATGATAAAGTGAGACACTTTAATCACGACGGGTTTGGGAACATAAAAGCTTAAAGCCCTTCCTTCCATTAGCAGCTCCAGTGTTTACTGGAACATTCTAAACAGAGTGCCTGAAGATAAACAGAGGCCTCACCAGAGTCAGCCTGATGGACAAGGAGGCTTGAAACCGGACTGATTGTCATTCCTCTTGGACACTTTAGGCACTGCCACGATTTGACTAAGAGATCAGTGGGAATTGAGGAATGAATTGTCTTTTCGCCCTGACTGCTGGGGCAATATGACCACTGAGTGCTCACTTACCTTTCTGAGATTCTTACTAAATAGCTTAACTTTAGGTTGGGGAAGCGGAGTTGGAAAACACTCCTCTGCTGGGTCCTCCGAGTGTTGCAGCATGTGATGAGAAACATATATTTAGAAAGACAGAACCCGTTGCTTTTGGTCTCAGATACGGAAACCCGAAGGTTGGCTTCTGTGTGGCAGCGTGATGTTTGTTTCCCTGCGGTTTTGTTCTTCCTTTGCCGTGTTAGTTTTGGTTTATACTCTTGCGTTGTTGCACATCTGGCTCTCCACTTTGATTAATCACGTCCTGTGCATCTTTTGACAATTCCCTCCGATTTCTGTGGTGACCGGGAAGGAGGGAGTTGGGGGGAGGGGGAGGGGGATTAAGTTGCCATCTCCTCCATCCGTACAAAGTCCCGACCGCCCTGGAGGAGGGACAGCTTCCTCTGTGAATGTGATTGTAATTAATGTTGGACAGGCCAAGGCTCTCCATCTGCTTTGCAAATAAAGCCATGCATGACTACTGTGTGTCACTGCCGTCCGATTAGATTTTAATGCATTTTGGGCTCGATCGGAGCAATTTTTGCGGGGCAGCTCGGAGGGCTGTGGCAGAGAGAGAGAGAGGCCTAAAACACTTCTGGGTGGTCCTTCACGTTGCTCCAAAATCTGGATATCACGTGTGGCCAGAATGAAAACAAATTAGAATTAAGATAAATGAGGGGAAGAAATGCGAAGAAGCCAAACAATCCGTCTGAAATTATTTGAAAAATACGAGCAGGAATAATAGACACACGCAACAGGGAGACAGATAGTGTTCGGCGGAGGACACTGAAACAAGTTAATCTGTTCCATCAAAGTGAAAACAGGGGTGGGGTGTGTGCGGGGGGGGAGCTGATGTTGGCTGCGTTTAGGTTTATTTGAAACTGGATTCACCTGCCTATATCAGCAGATGTTCAAATCAGACCCACGGCAAAGCGTAAGCGCACTTTAAACTGATGTCTTTCACAGCCAGCTCAGGCAGAAACACAGACTGACAGCTCATTTTCGGAGGTTATTCCCTGGGGGCACTAATACGCCGTCCGTTACATCTAGTCTCAAATGCGGACCATATGCCTCCTCCTCTCTCGTGATGATTCATGGAGACCTGTTGTTCAGTCATCTGTTCACATTTACTGTCATTAAATCTTAAGAATCGCTCCTATTTTTTCTAAGTAACGGGGGGGAAAACCTGAACAAGTCGTGGAATACTTTGAATCCGAGGAGCAGAAGCCTGTTTTCCAGCTCCTCTTTAATCTTCATTCCTAGAATAGCCCGTTCATCACTTGTTTGCTTTGTGGATGTCCTGCTTTTCCGCTGAGGTCCCGCGAAAGCGACACTGTGTGCCCTGTGAGTCACGCAGCTCCAAACACGTCCCAACGCAGCAACCGGGACGTTTAATTATGGTCAGGACCTGTTTGCACTCGTCTAATGTGGATTTGAGCAGACTAATAAATCAGGTAACCTTGTATAATTGGCAAAAAAAATATAACTATTACCGCTTGGTAGTCCCTCAAAGGACTTTCTTTTTCCTGTGTGCTTTCCTGAGGCGCAAATTAATCATCCTCTACTCATATTTGAGCAGAATTTAGATATTTCTACCGTCAAGAGGGGGATATGGTCTCAGATGTTCAGTGAATCTCTCCCCAGGTGCCAGAGTGTGAATTAGGTGACCCGTGCAGGTTGTGCTGTATCCCAGTGGAAAGCAAATACAAGACGTCTGTGCCTGGCCGATTAATGAGGAGTGACACTGCTGAGCAAACATCCGAAGCCGCAGCCAGAGTTCCAAGAGCCGGCGCGGGGAAAAAGAGCTTTTCCTATCGGGTTTGGGTTCCCGCGGTTGGGCTCGCGCCTCGTGGTCGCGGCGAGTCCAAAATGCGGAGAAACGGGGGCTGGAAAGGGTCACAGAACAGAAATTTCGCCATTCCGCCTTTAGCTCTGAGCGTTTTTTTGCCTCACAGCAGCTCCCTTTAAGATAGCCTTGTCTCTAGAGGGCAGCCAAAGCTCCTTGCTGGTTATTTACCGTCCCACGATGCTGTCTGTCTGCTCTAAAGTTTTGGATAACAACCCATTGATTGCAACTCTGTTTTTCTGTGTATTTCTCTCTGCTGTGTAGAATTGAAGATGACCTGATTGCTTAATTTAACCATCATACTAATATTATCTCTAAACTGTGTGGACGGATTGTTACTTATACAGCAGGACTGGAAAGATAAGATAAAAAAAAGACTTTCAGTGTCAACCACATTGTTTTGCGAGGCCGTCTTGAAAAGCTTCGCCGTTGACCTTTTCAGACTTTCTGGACACTCACATGGATGTGAAATGTCATTTGCCTGTCGCAAAATATTCCAAAACGCGATTCTGCTCCTTTGTTCACTCGTCTTTCAGCAACCCTACTACCCTCCTTTTCTCCTTTTCCCTCTCTCCTTTTCGTCTCTGCACACCTCATTGCAAAGGCTGTAGCTGAGCTGTCACTAGCCCTCTTGCCTAAGTCAACAGTCAAGCTTTCTACCAACCTACCTCCCACACTTTGAAGGCAAACAAGCCAGAAAGCTTGAAAAAGTGGGTTTTTTAGGAGATTAGCTGCGTCCAGACAGCCCCGGGCTTATCCAGAAGTGAAGTGCCCTTGTTAGACGGCTGTTTTACTTGTCTTATGATGCCTGGCTGCATTTCTCAGCGCCTAAGCCCAGGTAAGCCATTTCCTCTTGCAACAAAACGTGTCCCAAAGCTCCAGCACGATCAAATAATTAGCGGGCTTCCATCAAAGAGGCGATTGTTTGAGAAAGAATACAACTTTGGAAAATTTGAACTTAATCATCTTGAAACACTTCCTGAAAAGCCTCGGAGAGCAAAACAGAGGACCACCCATCGCTTCACCTCAACTCTGAGAGAACTCTAAACAGCATTAGCCCCAAGTTGAGCAAGGAATTCGAGATATTCTACAGCAGAGTAAAGGATCTTTTCTGGGACATAAACTTGGCTCTTGGAGCCTTTTCCTGCAATAGTGAGAAAAATCACATTAACAAACTTCAGACCTCTGTTTGCTTTCGTCTGTTTACAGTTTAAAATATTTGTCTGCCACTACGTATTCACTTGAACTTGCAACGATGTTCAAGAATGGCCCAAGATATACAAATAACAGTGCCTATTGAGTTCCAGTGTTTTAAAGTACTTCCTTTTTTTTTTCCTCACATGTTTGGATTGTATTGGTTGTCAGGGTCTCTATCCAAACACACTGCCGCCTTAAGAAACAAACAGGGCTGATGGAGGAAACATCTCTGATTAAGCAGATTATGGCTTTTCCAGTCGGGCTTATATATGTCAGAGAGATGAGGTGTTACAGAGCGACTCTTTTGTTCATCTTTCGAGGAGGAAAGAAAGCACACGCGGGTTGCATTTCTGTGTCAGTGTGTGTGTGTGTGTGTGTGAGTGGGTATCCAGACCGTGTTGTGGTCGGTGACGGGAAGCGTCGATGCCGCCCCGGTTTTTAAGTGGCTTGACAGACGCGTGTGCTCCCACGTGCGGATTGTCTTAAAAGAGCATTCCATTTGAAGTTGAAGGCGTCTCTGTCGCACGCCCTGCTTGGACACCCCGCCACGAACACACACACACGCCATTCCTCCACCCCGATCATATCTCCCCCCCCTCTCACGACATAACCGTCCACGCCGATGAGATGGCAGGCCCAGATTGGGGCTAAGTACAAGAGATTACGCCCCTTTTTGGGTTCTGCTCCTTCTCCTGGCCTCTCTCTCTCTCTCTCTCTCTCTTTCCTCCCGTCACCTCTCCTGTCTTCGGCGGGCCGGATTCCAGCTCCGAGCGATAGTGCCGTGGGATGAAGGAGTGTGAGCAGATAAGGAGGTGAAGTGCAGCGCACTCCCCCGTTGGTAACGATCCACCGAACAGGGCTGATAACCCCCGGGGGAACATCTGATTAGGACCTGCTGCTCCTATTTATCATCCCTGGGCGCAGGCACGGAGGAATTCGCCGGGCTCGCCGCGCCGTGCCTCCAGGAGGAGCAG